GGGGGGGTTGTTATAAAAATTTTAACATCTTTTCGGGTTTTTGTTGTGTTTGCTTGCTCTTCCCACTGGGCCCTTTCCATCCCGCCCGTTCTTTTTTTTTTAAAATTTTTTTTTTTTTTTTTTTTTTTTTTTTTTTTTTTTTTTTTTTTTTTTGCAAGACTTATAGGCGGCAACGCAACACATAGTCACTATAAAATCAACGGTAAACACAAATAGGTGAAAGGAAAATGGTGGCTAAGAGCCACCACAACTTGCTCAGTAAACTACCTAGCTCACTAGTCCTATATACCTCCTACTACACGGCATATCAACTAGTTCAAAAGCAAGCTAGCTCATCCAGCGTTCCTCTCAAAAAAGTTTTGTTTTTTTTTTCTTTTTTTTCTTTTTTCTTTTTTTCCTTTTCTGCCTGCCGCGTCACTATGTTGGCAAGACCGTATCCGGAAGTCGACGGTCAGAGTAGCGGAAGACACCATCCTACCGCAAAGCGCGACAGTAGACGTGCGCTCGAACTGCCCTGATGTAGAAGAAATTCCCAGTTAAGCACCTATCGGCGCAGTGTGACCAACTCATGGCCACGGATGCGAGATGCCTGTAACCAGGATCAATTCCAAAACATATTAGCCAGTTCAGGCGTATTGGGTGAATCAGAATGGCTATCCGTAGACGACGATTCTTCCTCCAATGTTAACTTATTTTTGTTGCAGTCGAATTTGAACATGTTGCAACTGATAGTACCAATGCTCCTGTGTTAGATTGACGTAGCGGAATAATAGTTGTGTAGGTTGGTTGAACAGCCCGGGGCCAGACAGATGTATTCTGTTGTCCTAGCACCTGCTGTCCTCGGGGTACGATGAGTTTCGCCACAATGTTCGTTGAACACTGCTCCAAGTTGGACATGAAACTTCAACTAGGGTTGATAGAGAGGGGGGGGGGATGAGCAGTTTCGCGAAAAAAATGCTTATGAGATGACGGCAGCAATGAGTCCACCAAGATAATATAATCTCTCTTTATGGTCATTCATCATCACCAAGCGCACATCCCCCCTTATGCCGCCGCCGAATTACCCGATGCCGACCACCTAAATCTAGGTGTGGAAGAAACGCCTAACGCCGAATTTTTGCCCCTTCCCCCGGTTCGTCCAAACGTCAACTAACTCGGTCTCATGTCGTCGAATGCTCAAAGAATCTCCTTCGCGAGATCGAGAAAACGATTGGAAACCAAGGAACCAACGGAAGTCATAATGGGTATGTTACAAATCGCAAAAAGAATCCAGAAGATATGTACAGTGCAAATGGGATAAGGCCCGATAACCCCCTAGCAGACGTTGAATTTCTAGTCTGGGGTTATACGCACTTTTGAGAATAATGCACACTTATTGCGGGGGTTGTTGACTCTGGCCGCCTCGGCCACCACCACGGCTACTGTAGTTGTATCCGCGTCCCCGACCTCGGTTACCACCGCGACTACCACCACGGCCTACTCCACGATTGGACTGATAAGATTGAGAGTCGTTGAAATGACCCCCACGGCCGCTCTGGAAACCTTGCCCTCTATTTTGGGAGGAGGAAGCGTTATTGGATTGCTGTGAAAGAGACTCGCCCGAGTTGGATTGAGCGCTAGAGTGTGCGGGTTTCGGGGTGTATATGTTGATAGGGCGAGGGATGCTCTCAGGGTTATCATAGACATAGAGGCTCTTGTCGATGGTAGCAGGGATTGGCTGAATCTCAGTGCCTAGATCCTTCTCGATATTGTATAGATTGAACCTGTCGTCCCAGTTGATCAAATTGATTGCCAGACCAAGATGGCCGTACCGGCCTGACCGTCCAATACGGTGCAAATACGTCTCAGCATTCTTCGGGAAATCAAAGTTGATAACAACGTTCACCGCCTGAATATCGATACCACGAGTCAGGAGGTCAGAACAGACAAGATTACGGCAGACACCATTGCGGAAGTCGTGGAAAACTCGGTTTCGCGCATGTTGCGCCATCTTAGCGTGACTGTAGAAGCATGAATAGCCAAGTTCCGTTATCTTCTTGGCTAGCAGTTCTACACGGTTGGTTGAATTGCAGAATATGATGGACTGGTTTATCTGAAGCTTGGAGAAAAGGGTGTTCAAACAATGAACCTTTTGCTTCTCTTCGACAAAGGCGTAGTATTGCGTTATACCCCGCAGGGTGAGTTCGTCCATCAGGTTGATTTCGTAAGGCCTATCCATGTTCTTATCAGAGAAATCCTTGACAGACAGGGGAAACGTGGCGGAGAAGAGCATGATTTGACGGTCCTTAGGGTGAAACTGGAGCAGCTGCTCAATGACGGGGGTGAATTCGATCGAGAGTAGCTTGTCGGCTTCGTCCATGATGAACATGGGACATTCGCTAAGATCAGCAACATTCTTGCCTGCTAAGTCGAGAATACGGCCGGGAGTGCCCACTACTATGTGGACGGGATCCTGTAGACGGACGATATCATCGCGGAGAGTAGTACCACCAGTTGTGACCATGACGTTGATTCCGAGGTGCTTGCCGAGGGTCTTACAGACTTGGGAGGTCTGCATTGCAAGTTCTCTTGTAGGCACCAGTATTAAACATTGAATCTTGTTGACCTTAGGGTTTATCCGTTCCAGAGCAGGTACGACGAAAGCTGCTGTCTTGCCGGTACCGTTCTTGGCTCTTGCTAGGATATCTCGTCCCGTTAGGGCTACCGGGATGGATTCTTCTTGGATAGGTGAAGGCTTCTCAAAGCCAGCTTCGAAGATGCCCATTAATAGATCTCGTTTCAGATTGAAATTCTCCCATTCTAGACCTTTAGTGTTTGTTACATCCTAGAGATCAAATTAGCTTGTCTCTCGCCCTCCCAACAAGTCAAATACAGACCTCAGTTTGGTGTCTGTTATCACGAGCAGGGATGTTAAGATTGTTCTTCCAATCCTCATTTTGAAGAGCATCATTTAGGGTGGAGGCCCTTAGTTGCGCTGTTAAAGCATCCGTCATTTTTTCTGCAAGTTTTAGGTCTATTTGTAAAAGAGACTTGAGGATCCGATGTTTGTATATGTTCCACGGGGTAGCGTTGGATTCCGAGCGTGTACCATGCACTACTAAGAGACAGCACAGAAAGGGGATAGGAGTGGGAGTGAGAGTGGGGGTGTTGTAGGAGACAACAATATGGGTGTGGATGGGTCCGAGGCTCTATAAAAAGTCGACTTTCATATGGCTAGCGTAGAAAGTAGTAGACGTGGGTGCGGACTGGTAACTGGTAACTGGTACGCAGGGAGGTCGTTCGTATGCGCGTCTAGGATGAGAGTAGATGCTTTCGCTCTCGTTTAAATCGATAGAGCGGCGGGTATGTCAAAGGCTTAGCAATGCTAGAGTTAGAGTCTGGTCAGTATAGGTTTTGGTGAATAACTCAGCAAACGAATGGTAGGAAGAAGCGCATCCGAAAAGACTTAAGAAATTAGTAAATAAAAGAAAAAAAAAAGGTAGGGAGCGGGTCCCCCTAACGAGGAGACGTTCCCAGCACCTAAACAAGGCACCAATGAGAGGCACCTGAACATGACTAAACCGAATAATACAGACGGCTCCAACGAGGAGTTAAGACCGAATGTGGGAGCGCCACAACTACATCGCGCATAAACACGTAGACATACCTTCGTCAAATAGCAACTCCTGCAGCCAGGGAAAATCCAGCTGGCTAAGTAATGGGCGTGATCGAGGATTTAAGCACCTAAGGCGCACAAGAAGAAATCACGGAGTGGAATATTTAGAAAGGTCTTCTCGTACGGAATGAGATAACGCTATGTATAAGGAGGAACGGATCAGTTTCCGTAGTCGATCGCGAGTCGAGTGGTTGAGGGTGAGATGGGCTGTTTCAACAGCTGAAAGAAGGTTTTTTTTTTTCTTAGTTGCGTATTCGTGATGGGGATTTTTGGGATGAGCTTTGCGTCCTTTCGAAGAGGAGGGACCAAAAATCAAGGGAGTTGTAGATAATATTTTAATGCACTTAGAGATATTCGTGGGAATTCGTTTGCGGGAAAGAGATAAGGAGGTAGGGAGGTAAAGATGGCAAGGAGGCAAGGATGAAATGTGGTTTGTGGATGTGGAAAGAAGTGCCTCGTGGAATGGCCTGTCTGCGTTACAAGGGGGAGAAGAGGTTGTTGATCTGAACTGATCTGATGCGAACCACAAATTGTTTTTTTCTTTTTTTTTTCGATGGGGTCGAGCCGAGAAAAGAAGCCTGCAATTGCGCAGTTGCCCTGCAGTGAGAGACATCATCCATTGAAGGAACTTGCACGAGCCACAACGTGCCGGTCCGGTATTGTCCCGATACTGTGGGACCCCTCCCGAATTGCCCAGGTGAACCCCGCAATCTTGAGGCTGAACAACAGCATTACATACATTGTAGGGAGCTAGGAACTTGTAATTAATATCCCTGAGGTAGCTGCATTAGGTAAGCTGCATAGAATCTTTTAGCGCTAACCTTATAGCGTAACCTTACAGTATGTAAGTCGTTTACGTATCGAACTCGGCAATCGGTCAGTCGGCTTTGAGCGGGTTTGAGCTATTTCAAGCCATTTCAAACCTACAACCTTCAAACCCATTTCGATATCCCCCTTCAACTTAATTCCTCTATATTAGACCTCTTATTTCTATCAATTTATCTTATCCGCCATGAGGCCTTTTCTAATGGGCTTCACGAGCAATGCCCTTCTATAGACTATGATATTCAAGAAGTCAACTTTCGCCGTCTGCTCCAATCTTCCCTCCTTGCTCCCCTCGCCACATCTCGGTCATGGCATAACGTCATCGTCTTGTAGTACGAACACGCGATGGCTGTCGTGTCAACAGCTCAGCCATATATCTTCGCGCCAACGATCCTACGCTACAGTTTCTAAAGCGCCCAAGGAGCCGTCTTCCTCTTCTAACGAGCATGCCTGGCCTGACTCGCCACAACCAACACCTTACGAGATATTCGACCAGCATAAGAGTGCGCCCTACAGCAAGGCCAAATTCTATGAATTAGTCAAGATCTATCATCCTGACAGGCACAATCATGTGTCGTTGCACCGGTTATCGCATTCCACCCGCCTTGAGCGTTACCGATTAGTTGTTGCGGCAAACCAGGTACTCAGCGACCCGTCCAAGCGACGAGCTTACGACTTGTACGGCGCGGGATGGGGCGGAATACATAGCATGGAAAATATCTACCGGTCTGCAGACAGGTCTTGGCGCGATGTTCCAGGAAATCCGAGCACGAACGCTACATGGGAAGATTGGGAACGATGGTATAACGAAAGGGATGGGAAGAAGGAGAAACAACGACCGGTCTACATGTCTAACCAGCTTTTCGCCGGCGTGCTATGCATATTCGTGGTTGTCGGGAGCATGGGCCAGGCGCGCCGTGCAAATTCCAACACAACTAACCTTGTAGATATGAGGGAGCAGAGCCATGCGTCTATTAATCACGATATGAGGCTGCGCCAGGTCGAGCAGGCATCCCTCAACCGACACGAAAGAGTCGAAAACTTCCTACGACAGAGGGAAGGGTGGGCCTTGGCTGCGACGGAATCCCCTCGCACTGCTTCAGAGTCTCGTGAGAAATGAGAACTTTGTTTTCACGGACGAGGGTCTTATATAAGATATTGATTTAGGTATACAATTGGTTTGGATCTCCTAAGTTCATCATCGAGGCATACTACATACATTAGGTACTTGGGCATGTTATAGCCCATTATCAGTAATTAGTTATACGTGACATATGCCTGTCTAGAAAAACATTACCCTCTCCTATCAAACGCGGCGACCAGATGAAAGGCGAGAGTATTATCATCATCAACCTTGCCACCCACCGACCTCCCTACAAGACTCGGATCGTCTGTGAAAAACGTGATGTTGACCCCGGCCGATCCTTTCGACGCGCCCAGACGAACAGTTCCCCCAGAGTGAACCGTTGCGCCAGCCGGACTGCCGACGTTCCACGAGCCATTGGTATCTGCAGCATCAAGAATAGTGTCGTAGACAACCCTTGCACTCTCGGCAATCTTCTGGCTGTTGGGTAGGACTTCGACTTTCGCAACTCCAACCGCACCAATCGAGTGCTTCGTAACGCCTGGGTCAGTATACGGTACCCGTAGGTGCCGGGCCGTAACATCCAAGCACCAAAACGGCACAGTCCCCGGCTCTACCGGTCCACCACCAGCCTGCTCATCGTGCCTTGGGAACGCAACCCCCCACTTCAGGACCTCTCCATCCGGCCTCGTTCTCCCTCCGCGCCTCAAGTCCCCATACACGATCCCCGCATTCGCGTCCCGGACTCTCTTCTGAATCTCGCGGAATGCCTTTTCCTGCTCCAGGAACCGCGCCTCTCCGTCACTGTTGTCCGGTGACGGAGGCGGAGGTGGCAGAGTAACTGCCCAGTCGACGACCGTGCCCTCTTTCTTTCTACCCCACTGGTGCGCGGCACGTTTTGCAGGATCAACTCCCGGCACGAAGGCGATGAACTCGAGGTACGAGCCGTCGGCCAGTAGCACGAGGGTGTTCTCGGTTAGCCCGTCGGAGTGCCGGCCGCCAGGGTAGAAGTGGAATAGGTCTGCGAACCAGGAGGGCGGGGAGGACAAGAAGGAATGGGGAATTAGGATCACAATGTGATCAACAAGCGGGGTAGTTGGAGACGTCATTTTGCAATGCAGTGATGGTTGCGTTGCTGATGGTTAACAGACGAAGATGTGTTTTTCTACATAGTACTATGTATATTGGGTATTTATGCGGTGCACTCAATGTCGTGCTTGGCCCGCCACGATTGCGTGACTCACCTACGTCGGTCCTCACTCGGATGTAGAGTTCCTAATAGTATCAAGACCGAGTCTAGCCTCAACCGCTAATAGCTGGAACCAGAGTCTCTTCTAGCACACGCTTCATGACCCTCTCTGCTTCCTTTGGGTCAATCCTCTCCTCGGCACCTAGCCTGATCATTCGACCAACCAAGAACATTAACTTCCCCTGAGGGAATTGCTTATAGTTTATAAACTGCTTCACAACTTCTTGCTGTCCTTCGGCCGCCTCCAATGCCAACCGAATATACTCGTCCTCGTCAAGTTCATTAAACCATAGATTTTCCTCGTCAAGGACAGTATCTATCGTAGCATACTCATCTGGAATCCTGCGTCTGAAAACGGCCCATAGAAGTTCCTTGGCTACTTTTGCAGTTATCTTGCGCTGGTATAGATATAACAAGATATCGACAAGGTGTTTGGCAGGCACACGGTCGCATTGCCCATCCTCTGTGAACCCTAAGTCTTGAGCGTCATCCTCACTACGGCCCGATGTTAGTCGGCCTAGCTCGTGTAGGATCCAGTTGGCGGCAAGCTGGTAACCTGAAAGGTATTGTGACGAGTTCGCATTTGGTCCGAACCGCTTAGCGAGAAGGTCGACGACATTCCAGAAATATTCAACTCGATTACCTCCATCGAGAGTCACCAAAGATAGCGCATCCTTAGGAGTAAGCCCAAACCGTTGTATGAGTTCATCAATCTCAGCATCCGGAAGTTCGCCCATGCCCTCTCTCAAATAATTGACCAGATCGTTACCTATAATAACCGGCGCCAGGTCAGGGTCTGGCATATACCTATAGTCGACCTCGCCTTCTTTGCCACGCAGTCGGCGGGTCTCAGTTGACCCAATCGACCACCCACGAGTCTCGCTTTCGACCTTCCCACCGGATTCGAGGACGGAAATCTGCCTATCGCGTTCGGCAATAATAGCGTCCTCAACAGCCTTGAAACTACTCAGATTCTTGATTTCGGTACGTTGGCCTAGCGGCGCAGATGGGTCATCGGTTCTTCGAACTGACACATTTACGTCTGCGCGTAAACCACCAGCTTCCATACCCAAAACGCAAGAATCAGTAGCGTTAAGCAAAGTCTGAACTTTTCTAACCAAGGCAGCAGCAGTTGCGGGATAGTGGATATCAGGCAAAGTGATGATCTCAATCAGAGGCAGACCAACGCGATTGAAGTCGATCCAATGGACATCGCCTGGTTGTGCCAAAGTCTTGGCGGTGTCCTGTTCCATCTGGATTTGTTTAATACCAACGGAGATACCATCGCCATCTTCCGCTGCAATTCCATCTCTAGCTTGCAGTAAAATCCTACCATCCCGCGCGAATGGTTCGTAATACTGAGTGATCTGATAGCCTGACGGTTGATCCCAATGAAAATAGTGTTTCCTATCGAACCTGCTTACATTCTGGATGTCACAGTTAAGTGCTAAAGCGGCTCTTAGCGCTGGGATGAGAGTCTCCTTCTGAAAGAGCGGTTGGCTACCGGGTGTAGCTAGATCAAAAAATGCCACGTGAGAATTCGGCTCGTCGCTGAATGACGTAGTTGCAGGTGAAAAGAGCTTCCTTGCCGTGTTCAGCTGGGCGTGTATCTCAATTCCCACAGTTAACTCCCAACCATCCACTACCTGATTGCTCGAATTTTTCTTCTTCTTCTTTCCAAGAACTTTTTGCTTCTTGGCCTCGTCTTTTAATTGTTTTCTCAAGGGAACATGAACTGTAGGGGGCGTGTTATTTGGAAGGGGGGAAGTAGACTCGGTGTGGACAGCCCGGGCCTGGAAAGACCGTAAGGTCGTCGTCGACCGAATGGAATTTTGAATAGCTCCGGGAATGGCCCGTGCCCGATACTTTAAGCAGCCTCTGGTAGAAAATTGGTTATTGAGAAGATATCTGCTTAGGGTGGCTATCCTAAATCGTGGCATATCGAATGGCTTTTATAACTACCTAAGGTTAGGATCCAGGTTGAAGTTATAACTTAGGTTAGGTAAGTTTCTAGCTCGAGATCCGATCCAGAAAGGTATTCAAGGTATTCAAGCTTAAGAAAGGCCGACGTTTCGAAAATCGCTGCAGCTTATCAAAATGCGTACTTGAAGAGATAAGGACCCCAAGGCAGCTGCACTCTGGAATCTGCAGGGGATTGACGACCCTGGTTTTCGGGTGAACTCGGCTACGTATCAAATAAAAAGAGGTATCCACTAAAATAATCACTGAGCAGCAGCCTGAGCCAGATCTGCGGGTATAATACAATACATTGCATAGTACCTCCTTAGGTACCTCTTATGGAGCTCATCCTTGTAGGGTTAACCGTTAACTCATCTACAAATCTATACTCCCTAGCTAAACAACCAAATCGCCCTTCAAAACCGCCCTTCAAATCTTCTTCTTCATCATCCTGCATGTCTCCAAATTAGAAGGACGTTCGGAACGTATACATGCAACCGTCGCAATTTGGCAAATTGAAGACATAGCATAACCCGTAAAGGATAGGATATGGATTGCTATGGCTCATCACCGTACCCGAGAGCGCCATGTGGCCGTGATCACTTTCAGACTCATTCATGTCACTCACATCTCGATTAGCCAACCAATCAATTACCGCATTACGTTTGGACGGCTCCTGGGAATTCCTCGTTATCACTTGGGATGCCACTGCTTGCGTCGCCTGACCTTGGGGAGCTGCTCAGTGTCCGTATCTGGATATTTCTGGATATCCTGTCTTCCCATCAGAGTCTCTTCCCTTAACTGTTTTTTTCCCATTAATATCAACCAAGTCGTCTCATAGGACCACATACCTTCACGTAGTTCGTGGTATGTCCCCTGACGCCGCAAACTTCTACCATGGCTGTTTAGTGCTGTACTCTCTCATCTGCGCCTGGACACTTGTTCTTCAAGCAATCGTCTATGGCTATTTAGTAGCATCTTAATTCGACTCTTCGTTACCACTTACCGACGTCGATATTTGTCACCATTTTGTTTGTCGAAGCTAGCGTCTCATTTTTTATTTTATTTTTTGAAAAAAAAAAAAAAAAAGACCGTATACTTTTACCTTATATCGCCTTTATGGACGGTTACCTGCAGCTTGGTTCTGCGAGGTACGCGCGTGTTCTACACTATTTTCGCATCTTTTCTCTTTCCACCGTAGGGCCGAATAATTCTTTCATTCATAGTCGTCAAGAGTAAAAGCGCAGTCCTGCTGATGTCGTCCGCAAGACACTATCGTTCATCTTCCGTTCCGGCCGCAATCGATCGAACCACCCCTTGGCGAGCCGTTGAGCGCGACATGGCTGATAACCAGGGCCATACTCAGCCTGGCTATCCCTACCCCCCATCCACGAGGAGAAGTGTACCCAGACGTAATACTGATATCAAACAGCCCACACCGGTTGCAAGCTACGGACACGGCAATCCAAACCAGTCCTATAGGAGGTTTTCGAGCGTTTTGAATGCGGCTGATCCTGTATTGAGTCCTAGTAACCCGGTCAAAATAACTCCTACCTTAACCGAAGAGCCAGGGATTCTTCAATCAGGAATCAGTTTCGTCGCTCAAGAGGCAACCCGTCTTAACATCGCGTCGGGGAATGAATCCGTCCCTCGCTTGAACTCCCCGTCAGTCGCCTCGACTAGCCTAGCAACTGTAGCTCCCAGCGAGGCTGGATCAGGATGTTCAGATAGGAGTGCTTCGTCGGCTACGGAAAAACCTTTTGTGAATCGAGACGCGACAGCAAAAGCAGGTTCCCGACGAAAGAGGTTTCCAAACAAACAGGTTAATGCACTCAACTTTCTTGATTCAGACTCTCCTACGGTAACACCGGAATCTATTCGTAGATCAATGGAAGAAGCTGCCGGTCGATCACCAACTTCAGTTCAATGCCAATCGCCTTCAACTCGTAGTGCATCCTCGATATCAAATAACTTTCGAGACGATGCCTCAGAGCCAATTGGTGGACGTGAACCCGACCGAAGCACAAGTCCGGAGCATGGTCCTGACCCCGCCAACGAGGGCTACCCACCAGCACACAACGGGATCCGAACGGCTGGAATCGATAACAGGAAGCGCAGCTATGATTTTTCGGAAAACTATAGGGCAAATTCTGAACATTCGCATGAATCACCAGGCGAATTCGCACCACGGGACCCTAGTCGAGGACGACCGCAACATGTTCTAAGGCCCGAGAGGTTGCCGCTCACAGGTTATGAGCTTCTCGCCTCAAAAATATCCACTTCCTCGTCGGATCATGCTAGCCACCTTCGACCAATATACCGTAGATTTGAGATTTTGAATCATAGGTTATTGCTATATCTTCAGGATGAACTTTGCGAGCTGGAAGAGCAGCTTCATAGGCTCGACGCGGCGGATACGCAAGCTAGACGCTTACCGAACTGCATCTTTCCAGCGTCACGAAGGGCGGAGTTTATGGCCAGCGGCGAGCTCCATTGGCACAAGACAGATGTACTCGGCAAGATTGGATTTAAACTGGACCAGTACAGTAAGTTTTCCAACCACAGTTCTTTGATTCCTTGAACCATTTGCAACATTAAGTTAGGTACTCATGCAACTCTTTATACAGACCGGGTACTATCATCCTTTAAAGATACCCAGGGGATGCCAGCTCCAACCATGGATGATATACATGAATATCGTAACTATCTTGCGATCCATGCCCCTATCGCTGAGGCCGAGACTCGTTTTATCGACGCGACGGATGATTTAATATGTCCAAGTTACGAATACCAAGAGGTGGTCGACGAGGACCCGGTTCCGACGCCAATTCCCCAACACGATTTTCCCATTGCTGAACCTAGGAGCGTATCTCCTATACCATCCCCAATTAAATCTCGGCCTACGTCACCCTACCGTCAAGAGGAAATTGGCACTGAGACTGTTATTAGCATGTATGAAGAATCGCCAATCATTCCTTTATCTATAGGAATCACTGTTTCTGTTATTCTCCCGATCCTGACCTTCTTAATTATACCTGGATATCTAGGCAGGTTGACGGTGGTATTCCTCGTGGGTTTGGGTATCCTCGGATCCCTGATCCAAGGCGGCATCGTTGCTATTCGAACTTGGGAGCTCTCTGTTTGCGTTGGACTTTATGGTGCTGTAATGGCTGTTATTGCAGGAATTGTATGAAGGAAGAGGACTGACATTGCCGGCTCACCTGAGAATGGTGCCGGCATATGACTACTATGAGGCATTTCGACAACAGAATGCTGGTTTCAGTGGCAATTTACTTGTATCACTTATCATGACTTACGATAGGATACGATTTATGACTTATGGTGTTGGGTGTACCATATGGAAGGAAATGGTCGAGGGTTAAGGCAACTATTATACAATACATATGTGGTGTAGATCAGGTATCTTGCGAGTCTAATTTGGTAGTACTGAATCTTGATTTTTGATAGTTCAGAGCCCAGACACAGTTAGCCATTAAAGTGGTCAAGATAAGCGAATAGGGGCAGACATAATGGGTATCACTGGGTACCACACCACATATATGGCCATAACCAGCTATCTTTATAAAAAGAGTAGGAAGCCAGGCGATATTAGAATCAAGCTACTGCCCTAGCATTCGTTCTACGTATGGCCTATGCCACAGATACTAACTACTGCGTTAAGATATTGCATTCAAAGTCAGCTTTCAGCTCACTCTTCTCCTGTCAAACTTAGCCAAACGATATCTATATTATGAGATTCAAACTAGAAACTTCTGCTTGACAACAAGAAATAAGGGGCATTGAATCGTAGTTACCTGTCTTTGTGTAAACACTCAAAGCACCATTAAGTTATGTAGGGGATGAAGAGTGTAAAGAAAGCTGCCTAGGTACCTTCTTTTGGCCCCGAGTATGTAGCTCAGAACTAAAATACTATAAAGCTCGGTGAAGTATCTCTGAGAGGCACGTAGTAGATATATACCTTAGGTACCTAGGTAGGTACACAGACAGCAAAAACGGACATTGGGTCGTGCTCTTCCATCGTACTTGCATTGTTAATGTCATGGCACACTGGATAGCAGACACAAGGATCAACGCAATATACAGTACTTCATATTGACAGAAAGACAGCTTAGTTGAAGAGGATATTCGAGGAGAATGTTGGCACTCCTTGTCTACTTTCCAAGTACCTTAGGTACCAAATTCTTTAAAGCAATCAGGCATTTGTATGTGTTATGGTGTACAATACATGACAAGCGATGTGTTTTCTAGGGTGGTTGTTATATGTAGGTCATATTTAGGAAGTCAACGTCAACTCCATGCTTTTTACAGAACATGGTTATTCGCATTCCCCGTTTGATCGCTGCGCCGTAGCCAATCCAGGAAAAGATCAAATGAATTCAATTCATCTATGAAGCAAGTGACTATTTACTGGTTTAAGAGGTAGAGCAGCAAACGATGTTAGCAAACGAGATAGTATGTAAGGCAACTGATGACCCGCTGCAGTGGCACGTAAGTAAGTTCAACTTGCGAAGAAGGAATAAAGTGGTTCTGTGAAACAAATATCAGCCTCTAGTGAGCGATTGATTTCGGCACGAACTTGCATAGAAGCTTCATGTCTGATTCGCTGACCAACTTCGGATGCGACACATCAACCTATGGTCCGTGGTCCGCAGTTCGCACTCCTGGTGGTTCCATCCTTTTCAGCTGTCATCCTTGCCTAAGTCAGGCTGAGTCTTGTAGATGTAGGCCTCCTGGTCCACGTATTCTATTTAAAAGGCTCGTAACTCCTGAGAATTTCCACCTTACAAGTTATAACAATTCGGATATATCACCATTTTGAAAAAAAAAAAAAATAGGAAACGAAATAAATTTCTTTATAATCTAGAAACGTGATCGAGCCGAAAAGCATCATGTCGCAAGTCGAGGGGTCTCACAGGAAGCGGTGCGAGTGTGCACTGGTCTTTGATGATGTGCAATCGTTAGGAATTCACATTCAGGAGACAGGCCATATGGAAGGAAAATGGTGTACGCAATGTTCCAGGCCATTTGTTACGAGAGGCGCACTTGCACAGCATAAAAAGAAGAACTCTAAACACAAGAGCAACGCGACTTCCGCTCCGACTGCGACTGCGACTGCGACTACCACAACTACAAGTACAACTGCAACTGCAACCAGGACTGCCACCGTCGCCGCTGCTCCTGCTGCTGCGTCTAAAACAAATGCTTACGTCAAAAAGCCTCGGATAGATAAGCCTAGCGTTGTTGCAAGCAATTCCGCAGGCAAGTCCACAAGCGAGTCTGCAGCAGTTACGACCAAGCCTCCCCATACGTCGCAAAGCGTTAAAGGAGTTAAAGGAAAGAAGACTCCCAAGGGTCCAAAAGGTACCTACCACCTACCACTCATAACCTACCACTTACCACTTACCACTTATCAACCGTCATCACCCATTCTCTTACTTACAACTGCTTATCTGAGATAATACGTCGTATCGCACGCATACCTATTAGGTTAGGTCAGGTACCTAGGTGTGTATATATATAATTAACAAAGGGTATCTAGTCGTCATCCCGAATGGAAGCCAAGCGATGCAGAGCCCAAATATGGCTACCTCTGCCCCCCCGAAGCTTGCTTCAACTATGTCATCGGATCCTGTCACGAGCAAATATCCATGGTCCTCTGGGAAGCAAGCCACGGGTTTGATAAACTCGTTAACACCCTCTTGTCACAGCCAAGCGTGCTTGACATCCGAGAATTATTACACGGGTGCTTCAGGTACTGGGAAGAAATGGAAGCATATCAGCATCAGAAGCTTTCTTTCCACCCCCGCAAAAATTCAAGGCGTCTCAAGACGTAAAGCTCTCGTCGTCGACTGTGAGATGGTTGGAATATCGGGAGGGAGAAGCGAGCTTGCATACATTTGCATCGTCGACCTTTTCACCAGGGAAGTCCTCGTAAATTCCCTTGTACTTCCCACCGAACTCGTTAGAGACTGGCGCACGAAGTACAGCGGCATAACGCCGGCCATGATGGCTCACGCTAGGGCTAACAACACCGCTCTGAATGGATGGCCGACAGCAAGGGCAAAGCTGTTTGAGCTTGCTGATACGAATACGATACTCATAGGACATTCGCTCAACAATGACCTAGAGGCTATGCATGTCACCCACCCGAAGGTTGTCGATTCGGCTATCCTAGCTGCGGAAGCCGTTTTTGGAAAGGGCAACAGGTTGGGGCGCAGATGGGGCCTAAAAGTGCTGTGCGAGGAACTTTTAGGTATCAAGATACAGTCGTCTAAAAGCGGTCACGACTGCTTGGAAGACACGCTCGCGTCTCGGGAGATTGTCCTGTGGTGTCTTAAAGAGCGTGAGAAACTAGCAACCTGGGCCAAGGATGCCTTAGCCAAATACGAGATTGAGAAGGAAAAGAGAGAAGAACGCGAAAGGGCCAAGGCACAGGAGATGGCACTGAAGAAGCAGAAGGAGAGAGAGAAGGAGAGAGAGAAGGAGAGAGAGAAGGAGAAAGATATTGAGGAAATGGAAGCTGATCGTGACTATCGGGGCCGTAATCGTCAATATGACGACAGCTTGGTAATGCCATGGGAAGAATATCTCGAGGCTTGCAACTATGATCCCGGGTATGATCCCATGTTTTGGTCTGACTAGAGGAGATTGGAGGACAAGAATGGTGGACCGCTGACAATCCACCATTTCTCATCAAAGAGAGAACGTTCTCTAGGTTAGGGTTGTTAGCGCAAGGTCGTGTATCTAGTCTGAGCTTGACTTGCAATGTGTTTTCGCCAACAGAATGCGAAACGTACCTTAGGTTAGGTACCTAGGTTTTCCTTCCACCCTTCTCCCACCAGCTCTGGTTGCCGACACTGGGCCGTGAGTGCTACTTGTCAAGTAGGGGCAAAGTGTTATATCAGGCCTTTTGCTTCACCATAAACTATAAGTGCCTTTTACGAGTAGAAGTATAAGTACAAGTCGTGAGATAGGTAGTTTGACTTCAGTGTGTAATGCGCTTCCAGAAGGTCGGTTTCCCCCCCTTTTCAATTCTTTTGCTCGTGTCTTCCTCTTCAGCCTTTGGCGTACTTGCACTAACATCAAGTACCTCTCTTACTACTATATCTTCCCATGACATGTTAATTGATTCAATTCCGACATCTACCATGTAATACTTGTCTGAGGATAGTAGGACGGGTACGGCAGACACGCGAACACTATGGGCCGCCAGCTCAAATCTTCCAACCGTGGTGGGCTTGAAAAGAGCTTCCATTTCTGGAAATTGTACGGCATTCAACTCAAGCTTGGCGTCGAGTTCACATGCGCTAAAGGCAACGTTGAATCCATTGAGTGTACCGATTAGCACAGCAAGCTTCTCGCCGTCCGTGCGCTCGAATATCAGAGCTGCTGACAGCTGTTCCGGTTTCCGGTATAGATTATGGACGAGCGGCCATTTATACTTAACCCACTCCCTAGCCGAATTCTTCGTCGGTATGGGTCCTGAAATACCATTTCTTGGAGGTGGACTCAGTAGGCATACCAGCGTATACACTGTTGGGTCGGGTCCTTCCCTTAACTGGATAAAGTGGTGAAGAAAAGCACCCTCATGGGACGGTGGCTCCGGTTTTTGACGGATGTAGGCCGTCTGGAGGTGTCCGCGGGTACGAACGCTCGCGAAATTTCCTACCCGAATGCGTGCGTATTGGTTATCGCATTCTGACAACTTTTCTAAGTAGATGGCTAGGAACGTCGAGTCCTTATAGTCGGGCGGTACGGGGCAGTCGAGGGCTGCTACGTATTTATCTTTGCCAAGTGCCGTGAGGTGAAGATCGATTTTAAGGCCGCGGTTAGTCAAGGTGTATGGTTCACGAGGTTCCCAATCCTGATACGGAATCATGTCAATCGAGTTCAAGAAATACGATGGATCCGCCGCTAGGAGGCCGTGCCTCGCATCTGGCTGCGAGTGTAGGTTTACCCAGGCGAACAACGACTCATCGTCCGATTGCTTCATGATTTCTCCTTGAAGCCGTAGAAATGCATTCTCTCCACCTTCTCCATATAGCATAGGCATGTTGACAGAAAATATTCCCATGAGACTATACGCTCTGTCCTCCGGACGTGTAGTGACCCTTTGCGCGGCCCAAGTCATTCGTTTCGCAATACTTGCCGAGTCCAAAGGCTCGTCACCGAGTAGAATCTTATAATCTATCCGCGTGATCTTGGCAAGGAGCAAGCACAGGAACTTCTTCTCGCCGATCGGGACCCAGTCGCCGGAGAAGAATATCAGATGCTTAGGCGCGAGAAGTTCTTGTAACGTCCAGCCACGAGTAAACCACCTGTTTGTCTCAAACTCGGCCTTTGCCTCAGGCGTGGCAAGTTCGTTAGGTGCCTTGAGCAAAAAGGCATAGCAGATATCGGCGTCGCGATACCAAGCGAACATAGAGTTGATAGCCTCGGATAACTCAGAACTACTGCGTTTATCGATGCAGCATGAATCAATCCAGATGTATTCGTAACCGTCATTAGCGGCCTGGGTACACGCGCCTAGAAGTTTTGATAGCGATGCAAGAGCTGCGACCGTCTTGACCGAGGCATAGCTAGCTTCGCCGCTCTCAATATCGTTGAAAGTTATCTCGTCATCTTCCCAGGTATGTGATAGTATAGCATATCTCAGCAACTCGTTCGGCCTTTTCTCTATAAGCTTTAGAGTCCCAGTCTCTTTAGCTATACGAGCTTCCAAGAGGCGCATTGTATCTAGTGGCGAGCTTTCTGTTGTCCCTTCCGTAAAGACTCAGATGTAACTCTATGGGCGATTTGGGCAAGGATATAAGGTATAGTCCTGGGACGGGAATATACATGACGATATAATAGGGATTCTATCGAATGATAGAACGCCTTGTCGGGCTTCGGGAGCTGATCCCCCCCGTTAATAAGCCTATTAGGCAGGCTGTGTCCTGATTTTACTGACCGATGTCCATGCCTGCTACCGAGTTACGAGGAATTTGGGGGCTACAAAGCAGCCAATAGACTACAAAAAGAGAGATTTGTGCTACCTCATTCCAGTATCATACGTTGTATAATACTTTCCCCATAGGTTGATCGTTGAAACAGGTGGTCACACAATTGGAATACAGGGCGGCGCAGTAAATTTTGGCGAGAGTAGGGATAAGACCAGAACATCTGCTCTCCCACACGATTGCCTAGGTACCTAGACCTACATACTGTATCTTGTATATAAATAAGCACATATATAGGTAGGCTTGTCTGCATCTGCATCTCCCGCAACTTGACTTTAAGGTAATCAATGAACATAATTTGCCGTCGTCTTGCGAATAATGTGAACATTTCCATTTTCCGCATTTCTCATACAAAGACATAAGGCTTTACACAGATACCTACTAAAATGGCCGAAAAGCCACCTCAAGTTGAAGGTGTCATGGACACACAAATTCAAGTCCCTCCCCCTTTAAGGGCGGCACCGCAGCCGGACTTGACAACAAATGAAAAGAAACAGGATGCAATACAAGCTTGCGCTCCGGCGCCGATCTCCAGCCTGATTGTTGAAGAGTACTAACCTCCCAACTCTGGCACTTTCTACTTGTATTATAGGCGTTTACACTAATATATATATCTCAGGCCCTCGAGGCCGCCAAACACGGCAGAAAGAAAGAATAGGCCGCCTCGAATCGTCCAGGAGCGGGACCATCCAATGGTAACACCTCTGGAGCAACTCGATGAACATACACACTGGATAGATTGCCCTGCTTGCAGAAGGCGGACCAAAACAATCGCCACAAAGGAGGGTGATACGATGCAAATGTACGTGATAGCCTCCCTCCGTGAATTTATGTTGATCTTGTGCTAAAGCTGGGAGCCTATAGAGTAGTAGGAATTTTGCTCTGTTCCGTCTGTCCGTGCCTCGCTTGTCTGCCGTGCATGGGACACTGGTTCGAAAATACTCGTATTACTTGCTCAGCTTGCAAGGTCCATATTGCTAGTATCTCCCCTGCGGGTCAAGTGCAAGTCATTCTAGTACAAGGAAGGGGGCAACGGCCGTCTGTGTACTATCAGCCTGGTTTCGAGGCTAAGTAGTCTATGAGATAGGTGTTTGAATGAGAATTACCATACTCAGCATACCTGACAGCTGTAGAGGATCTCTACATATGTTAGGTACTACTTATCAATAGATTCTTACGTGGCGTTTATAGCTTACACCGTCGATTAGGTGGCTTCAAACTAGTTAAATCAACACGTCCAAGATAGCCCAGCCCCTTTTCTGTGGTACGTCTCGTAAGCTTTAGGCTATCTAGCTTCATGTAAAAGGTAAGCCACAAAACAGTGCTGGTGCTTCTAGAAGCTTTGTTCTAATAGTTATAGCCTAAACTTCGACCAGTCATTGGGCATGGCCATCGTGAACTAAGGCGAGGGGTGGGCGTTAGGCTAGACTACGGTGTCGCCGGAGCTGAAAGGACATTATGATAGATAATAGATGATACAAGAAATTCAGCTTCAGCTCATATTTGTATTATTTCCATTCGATACCTCTTACGAATCTCTCTCTATATAAGGTATGCTCCGATTCTTGATCTCAATTATCCATATCTACCTGTGATTAACAGCGCTTAATCGCCTCCACTCTCTCACTCTCGTCTCGTCAATACTTGATGTGCCTAGCTACAGCTCATTAAATCGAAGAATCTCTCCACCCCGCTCAGATAGGATTCTGGCAGGATGCCACAATTTATGGAAGAGGTCAAGGAGGAAAGGGCTCCAAAGAAACTAGTTCTTTGCTTTGATGGCACTGGGAATACATTTAGCGGCAGCACTGCTGACACGAACGTTGTCAAAATTTACGATAAGCTAGACAAGAATTCTGAGGAGCAGTACCACTATTACCAGAGTTCGTATTCCTATTTCAGACGTGTCCTCTCTTACTCTTCTAACAACTCCCAAGCTGGCATTGGTACCTATGACATTGGGTCAGGTTCGATAGACAAGGGTTTTATAGGCGGCCTCCGGAGCAAGATCTCGAGCATTCTCGATCAGGGGTTCGCAACCACCTTCGACGCGCATGTCATTGCTGGGTATCGCTTCATCATGCGGTATTACGACAAGGGCGACAAGATATACATGTTCGGGTTTTCGCGAGGTGCCTTTACGGCTCGTTTCTTAGCGCGAATGATTAATACCATAGGCCTCCTTTCGAAGGGAAACGAGGAGATGGTCCCCTTTGTCTACCAGCTATATCGAGAATACGAGCAAGGGAAGATCAAACTAGATGGCGAAATTCCGGATGTATCCAGTTCAGCCCCTTTAATCGGTTCGCCCGCGGACCAACTAGCATTTCGGCGTAATCCATCCGATGCCACTGGCCCGAATGCCATAAAGGACGATGCTGAGACAGATCCTTTACTTGCCAATGCAGCCAGTGGCTTATGCTCTGATGGTCATATCATTAGCAGTGGAAACCACGTCATTGATGAAGCCCAAATGAGCCGCAACAAGCTAATTGCTTTCACCAACACTTTTTGCCGACGCGAAGAAGTTGCTTCCCACCCAGACCAAAAAGATAAAGTCTATACAGGTGTGAAGGTTTACTTCCTTGGTTTGTTTGATTGCGTGAGTAGCGTCCAAGTCCTGGAGAGCCCATTCGGGAAGATGCCGCCTCCTGTCTCCGTTCTCGGAACGGCGAATCATGTCAGACACGCCGTAGCTCTTGATGAACGAAGAGTCAAGTTCAAGGCTGCTCTGCTCGCCCAGGATATCCACCATCGAGATTATAAGAAGGATAAGGAGGATATTAAAGAAGTTTGGTAAGGTTCCTTAGGTCGCATGAACAGGCCTTTGGATGGCTAACTCATGTCTAGGTTCCCAGGTAATCACGGCGATATAGGCGGAGGCTGGCCTGCTCCAAAGCCAACAGATGCAAATAAGTCTCGATCCTGGTGGGATGCTATCAAAGAAGCTTTCGCAGGCTCGAAGCCACGGGGCGCATCGCAGGACAATAGAGCAGACCCATACCAGATGAGCGACGTGGCACTTCATTGGTAAGCTTCTTTTCTCTATAACTTTACCTATTAAATAAGCAGAACCTCCTCTTTGCCTCCTCCAAGAGGAACTAATACATGGTAGGATGATAAACGAAGTCAAAGAAGTTGGCAAGCGGGAGCCGAAGAATGCCCTTAAATGGAGTAAGCGATTGAATGGATTCGAACATAACTTCGAGGACTTTAAAGAGGACCAGGCTTTCAATGCGGGCGCCCACGACACAATGCGGATATTAGGTGGTTCAAGTCTGATGGACGTACTATTCTGGAATTTCCTCGGTATGTCCGCCCTTTCCGCCTGCCAAACAAGATGATCCTAACACTTGGATGACAGAGTGGCTACCGTTCCTAGCGCGATGGGAGATAGGTCAGGACAGTTTCTACTACGAACGGATATGGCCGAACAGGGGTCGCACACGCGACATACCGGCCGACGCCGTATTTCATGACTCGGTGCGCTGGCGGTTGGAGAACATTCCGAGTTACAGGCCCCAGAACAATCTCGGCGATGGGACTACTGCTTGCTTGACTGACCATGAGGTCCTGGTGCCGAAGAAGTTGAAGCCTGACGAGACGGTTAGCGAACACCATAATACTTTCGTGCTGAACCGTGATCGTAAGACGCAGCTGTATCAATGTTGAGATAAGCTATTTGGTTCTGTTATGGAAATATAGCGCTCGTTAGTTGGAGAAGAGAATATCATAGATTAGGAGTAGTAGCGACATCTGCATGATTATTCTATACCTGACACGAAATTAGTTCGAATATGCCAGTGCATCGTTGTAAAAGCCGTCTATGTATATATGTATAAAGGGGGATGTCGTTACTGTCAGCAAGTCCCCCCGGCTGGACTCTAAATGGCGAAAGGAGTTTCCCTGAGTTCAGTCGTAGTGCCACGAATAGCTTCCCGATCCTCCTCGTCGAACTCAATACCAAAGTACTTCTTTATAGCATCCAGCCTCTGCTCCTCCGTCTCAAATTTCGCTATCTGCACCGTCTGCCCCTCACGGCGCCATTTCAGCGTATCCTGGAACAGAATCAACGCGCCGTCGATCTTACCCTCCGCAACCGCTTTATCACTCATAAACGCGGGCGCCTCGGCATCTCCTTCGGCGTCGGTCGTGAACCGCAAGAGGACGACTTTCTGGGTAAACCATGAGCTCGGGCTCTTCCACGGGATCAGGTTCAGCCCGCGGATGTCCTCGAGCAGGAACTCGATGTCCACGAAGCAGTACATGGGCACCCACTCCGCGTCGCTGTTGATCTGGTTCTGGTAGATCCACACTTTCTGCCCCTGGTCGACTTGTTGCGGGATGGGCTCGTGCACAAATCGCATCAGCGCACCTGTGCCTTCGATGTGCACGCGCGGCTCATCGTGGTGCAGGGGTGCTGGAGCCGTAGGTCCGTTGGCGCCGAAACCGACATCCACCATGTACCGATCGTTACCAATGATGATAATATTCACGCAATGCGAGAAGCCGCCATACTTGTCGATATCTTTTTTATAAATACGGGCGCCGGCCATATAGACTTGGAACCCAAGGCTTAGAAGGACGGTGTGCAACAAGGAGTTCACCTCCATGCAATAACCGCCACGACGACTAGGCGGGGGTACAATCTTGTTGAATAAGTGCTGAGGCCGAACATTGACAGTTCTATGCCATGAATAATGCTGCGTTAAATTCTCAAACGGTATTCGCACTAGGTGGTGTTTATGAAGGAGAGCTAAGTAGCTTAGCTTTTCATCGTCTGAGATTGTCGCTACCGAAAACAATCGCTTTTGCTTAGGGAGCGCGATTCGGTCGAAATATTGCTCGAGCTGGACATGGCTATATCTCAGGCGGTCCACCATCTTGGGATTTCATGAATGGAAGAAGCATGATGATGTTGGCGTTCCCTTAGCGTACCGGATTCATCTAGGGGGAATTTATATACTTGATCTAATACCGAGACATGCGTGTATATATCCAATAGCTAAAATACCGCATCGCACCGCTACCTCTTATATTGCTTTTTCATTATGTAATTCTCGCGATCTCGCTGCCGACGCGAGCCCAACTACCTATTTGGGTCTCATTTGTAAGTCTCGCGCTTGAATGGCTCTGGTCTCATTTGTAACTTGCGCTGTCGCCATCATCCTAGATCGAATAATCTTGGCAACCATAATACCCCTCTCAACCTTTGGCTCCATCTCGTATAAAATCTTACGTAATGATATCTGTCCTATCTGTCATATGCTCCCAACTCCCAACTATGCTGCTTTAGCCGTAATAGAATGAAACAATGTACTCAATGGTTGATATCTATTATGAGCCATGGCCGCCTTCGACGACCTGTCTCTTATTCCTACACACTGGGCAGCCGCCTTCAATGCGATCTCTTAATAACCGTGCATGCGTAACTTTGCTGCCCACAAATCGACCTCCCCTCGTCCGGTCTTGGTCGCCGTTCCCAACTACGTTGGGATCGACGTCTTGGTTTGGGTTTAAGTATTCCAGGAGGTGTGAAATATGATATATGTGGCCACATGCAAATCCCACGAGTGTCTCCGACTCCCACTCAGTGAATGGCTCGAGACACCTTGCGCAATGACCTGGCTTCAACTCCCTGTGATCGTGTCCCGGTTGTTGTTGTTTCTTATCTGTAGGATTCTTGTCCGCCAATGTGTTATTATCTACTGTCTCGCTGGGTGTCCCGGTCCCGGTGCCACCTGTACGTGGCGTGGCAGATACGTCTTTGACTTCAATATCGATATGGTCTTCCGCATGAGCCAATACTTCGAACTTGATGCCTTTTCTTTGGCCATTTCGGAGTTGATTCTGGGCTGCAGCTACTTCAGATCTGAGGACACGCGCTACGCCAGACGAGATGCTATATTGAATTTCGTGTTCTTTCATGATATGTTTCAAACCCTCCCGAAGACCGGGGATCTCAAGTCCCTCGGGAATACGTCGAACAAGGGTAATCGGATCAATAGCCGTGCCAACCTCCTCAAGCAACGCGCGGATGAAACGTGGCTTGTCCATGCTGTAGTCGAGAAGATCCTCCCAGAGATCCGGGTCATCCTGCTCTTTTGCAAAACTAATAGCTTGTGATACATCGCCCAGTCGGTCGATTATGAGATATAGTGCTCGCTTCATCTCTCCAGTCTTGGAATATAGATAAACGAGTTCGGGTATAAAATTCGCCTGTTCGCATTCCTCAACAGCCTTCTCAAACTTGTACGAGGTAGAAACCTTTAAGAAATCTATCAAAAGCGTACGGTCAAAAGCCACGAAAATGTGGACGGCTAAATCAGCAAAATTATCGACCAAAGACACACTTTCGTCGACGGGCCGTTCTCGGTATTCCTGCCATAAACCGCGGAAATAAAAATAGAGGTAAAGATTCAGATCCCTTGCCTCTAATTGCTCGACTACAACCTCCGGTTTGATGAGGCCTCGAGCTGCCTCATCGACAAGTAAGGCGATAGCTTCCGACGTAGCTTCTTCAAGCTCCGGGATGCTCATTCGGCTTAGTTCCGCTTCTGGGACTCTAAGCGCGATAAAGCTAGGGACGTCATCGATGACGGCTTCTGCAAGGTGATTATCTTTTATTAGGCGCATTGCAGAATCTGCATCTTGAAGCTTAATATAGTCCTTGAGAGCTTCCCGGTACCTCCCATCAACTTCGTAAAGTCTGGCTAAACTTTCCGTTACAATTCGCCAGTCACGTCCTTTCTCCCCACCTTCGACGCTGTCTTCTCTTACATCCCGGAATTTGAGCTGGTTTTCTAGTGCAATGGTAACCTCATTGACGTTGAAGAGCTCTGTCCCCCAACGGTCAAGTAATTCCTTGAACCGGGGTCTATCAGTTTGAATGTAGTGTCCCAACATAACCTCGTATACTGTCCCTGGGATGGGTGGCCGCATTGGTTCCGATGGCACATAATCGACAATGTCGTCAAATCTATTCGCCCCGGCGAAAGTATATATCCAGTTTTCCCATTGGTGAGGTGTATTTATCACTCTTGCTGCAACTCGAGCAGCACCAGCCCAATCTCCGTTTTCTACCAACTCCTGGAGCCAAAGCTCGCCAATTTTGCGTTTTTCTTTCTCCGCAGAGGTATTCATAAATCTAATATGGTCGTCTATTAGAGACGAAGTGTCTTCGTAAAAATCGTCCGTCGTTGATGGCCTTCGTTCGGGACTTGATGGGGCAAGCTCCGGCGGCCTTTCAGTGGAGCCGTTCATGATCTCAGGGTGGTCATTCAATAACTCCCACGCATCCTGGTAACTTTGGTGTTCTATAAGCCATTCCAAGTGATCACCAAGATCTCTTTTTGTACCAAGAATGCAGTCATACGGGCTATGAATGAATATCTTAGCCCCGGGTTTGATGAGATTAGGATGGACTGTCCGGGACGTTGGTTTTAGACTGGCTCGTACACTCCCCCCAGTATTACCACCCCTAGGACTCGACGCGGCATCGTTGCTGTCTCGACTTATGATGCTTGCACCGGAGCTAAAAAGCGACTTCGGATTGATAGCAGCATTCCACATATCGGTACCAAAACCAGCCAAGGCCTCTAGGGCCCCCCGAGAAGCTACAACAGAAGCGGCTCTACTTGCGGGTAATATGCCTAGATGATAATCATTGGAAGAAAGTCCCTCAAACCGACTTACAGTGAGACTATCCTTGTCAACCTCAGCTTGGGAGGTGAGGTCGATCAATCTCAATTCGGGTGGTTGAGCATTGTGACGGCGTCTTATCCCGCCAGATGGTTCACTTTTGCTTGTTGGGTTGACAGGTTCCTGTTCTTCGTCCTCCGGTTTGCAGTATGCAAGAACTAAAAGAAGAGTTTGGGTATATAATGAAATACCGGATATGATGCAATCCATACGAAGACTGGAGACGTTAGCAAAACATTGTAGAGACTCGAATGGACATACGTACATCTTCACAATCTCAGCTCTACCAATAGACCTCTCCCCCGCATTCTTTCCCACACCGACACCTCCTGGATGAACGTGAATTATCCATATCGTGCCACCCCATCCAACCAGTAGCCGTTCGATGCTCTTTTCATGCCTTTGCGCCTGCTGGCTTAGTTTCGCGGCGGCGGGTGATAAAGCGCCTGGCAGATCGCCTTCCTTGTCTACCTCGTCGCTTGTAACTGCCTGGTCGTCGATCCATTCTGCCCTACCTTTCCATACGCCTGCCATTTCTTCCCATTCGTCAGTTTGCGGCCTGTCGATATGCCCTATTCGCTTCCAAGCATCTTCTGCGTCTGCAGTATCCAGATGCAACTTTGTTCGCATAATCTTGATACCATGCTCGTTTAGCCAGGCAACATATCTTCCCGATAAAGACCATTTGATCGTGCTGATAGTCCCCTCCCCCGAATGGAGGACAGAGTCCTTCCCAGTGTTCGCACCTATTCCAATACTTCCCAGCCAACCGGACGCGGCAGCAGCAGCCGTTCCCGTAGTCGAAGATGTACTTCGCCCTTGAGGCGCACCAACTGTAAGGACTAGGTTACCAGCAAGGCCACCAGACAAGTATGTCCTATCATTCCTGAAATCTGGTGACAAAGCCACGGCCTGAACTGGTCGCGCAAAATTCCTCAGCTGCACGTCTCGAAGCTCGATGAGGGGCTGGACACGCACATTCCCATCCATGGAAGAGGTTGCGATGAATATGTTGTTTGAGGGGATATTAGGAACCTGCGGCAACTCGCGCGATCTCCGTCGGCTGCCCGGTGGCGAGTCTGAATGGTTAGAGGAAGGTCGGTTGAGGGCTTGCGACACGACCCTATTAATAGCCTCGGGTTTAAGGGTCGGCGGGATAGAGGGTGGTGGGTATGGAGATATTGAAATGCTCGTAACGGAGGCGGTATGAGCTTGGTAGACAAGCAGAGATTGGAAATCTGGTAGTTGGATAACATGCTATTTACGCGCTTCAGTATTCTGTAAACCGATAGAAGAATAGTTTTTGTAGTATCTACTTACGACATTTCCATTGTGTGTTCCGACTATCATCTTGTCTCCCGCGACGAGAAATGTGCTAGTAGCGTCGCCATTCTTATAGACGGCGCCCATGTGCTGCGTCAAGCGGGCATATTTTAATTTCGGTTCTTCATCTTCATCTTCATCTTCATCCTCGTCCTCGTCCCCGTCCCCGTCCTCGTCCTCGTCCCCGTCATCATCTTCATCTTCATACTCACCTCCGTCATCATTGTCTTCACCATCTTCTTCAACTTCGGCTCCATCATCTCCATCGATGTTAGCCTCACTATCGTCTTCGCTGGTATCCTTTGTGTCTATTGTTGCGTCTCCGTTTTCTTTAGAATGATGCGCTTCGGGGTGCTCAGAAATATTATCATGTTCCGATTCATCAACACCGGTCTTCGGTATAGCGCTGTCGTGGTCACTAATGCTGTTGGCGTCGTTACTGTTGGCGTCGGTGTTGGTGTCGTTGTCGCCCAAGCTGGGCTGTGCTTCTGTCATGGCAGGCGACCAATCCAAGAAGGTGACATCAGGGGCCAAGTCTGTCAGCCGACTATATGACTATATGAGACAAAATAAGATAAGTTACAAATAAAAGTACAAGCTTTTGAAGCTTAAAGGTTACGCATGAACCTATCCAAAGCTACAGATTCGCGATTGCTTGACCGTTATTTGCCTGGAGGTATAAGTTGAAATTTACTAGGTATAGGTAAAGCTTGGCCCGGTCCTGGATAAAGAAGCTACCTTGGGTGGATGTAAGGTACGAATTACAATACCTACCTGAGTCGACGATAGCCGATAGGTTGGTACCTAGGTTACTATGAGTTTAGGTAAGCTTCCGACTTCCAAGCTTTCACCGTTAGTGCCTAATAGATCCACTAAATTTTCCTAGCCAATCACTATCTCTCCCTTAACCCCTCCAAAAATTCAGCCCCAAATCTCCCATTACAGTGCAAAGTACCGATATAGGTATTAGGTACCTTACCTGGTACATACCTTTGTCGCGTGTACTTCTTCGTACCGCGCCGTCTCAGATTCTTATAGATACCTCAAATTAATTCCGAAGAAAGCGCTTCTCATCAAATTCCTACGACTTATAAAAAAATAAAAAAATAAAAATAAAAAAAAACTCGACCGACAGGGAATGGGCTTGAAATACCCTATCGCCCCTCTGCTTGGCTTCTTAACGAGGAAGACCAAGACAGTTTAACTGCCTTCAATGGATTTAATACATATATAATATGGCTTCGGTGACATCTCTCGGGCTGCACGAGCCTACAGCACTTCAATACGCCATACAGGAACAACTCCTACCGGAAAATCCACCTTCTTCCTCTTATGACTGGAGCATCACCGTTAATCATAACAGCAACGAAGAAGGGGAGGATGAGCTTCTAGTTACCAAAGATGCTGTTGTATGGTCGAGAGGTTGCATTTTTCGCAAGTGTTTTGGCTTCAAATTGGAGAACGAGCCTATCATCCAGGCCTTACTAACGTATTTTCCAAATTCCGAAATTTCGGAAGATGCTCCAAACGAAAAACCTGGGGAGAAGCGGGTTCGTTTTCAGTCAGAGACCAACACCAACAAAAATGAAAGAGCGTTATCGAAAGCCTTGGTTGTTTTTCTTAAGACCCAAGCTCACGTCTATTTTCTTGATGGTACCAGTCACGTAGTTCATATGCCTTTTGAGGTCGAATCTGCCTGCGCCGCCCCCCAAGGTGTCATAATCCAACGGCGTCAGCGAACTGATACTAACCTGGCTGCGAGCCTGAAATTTCCTCGGGTCCCCCATAATTCTTTTATTTCGAACCAACTCTCTCCAGCGTCTACAAGGCCGTCTCAGCTGAGTACTTTCACTACCGAAAGTCTTGGAAAACCGAAAACACTTCCTCTTAGACTGAACGCCAACCTTGACAACCTATGGGATATCCCGGAAGCAAAAAAGGATTCCCAATGGCCGCGTTTAGTCGCTCTCACTGATCCCTTACTGGAACTTGGATTGGTTGTCACGCAGAGAGATAAATCTGTTAAGCGTAAAAGCCGACCAAGCTCAGAAAAGTCTCCCAATTTTCTAGATAGGGCAGAGGAGATAGTTCACGTCGAAGAAATACCCCACCACCAAACCTATAAGAAAGGCAAGGGGAAACTGATCCTTGCAGTAACCGTCAATAGAGAGACCTGCATGTACACTGTTTGGAGGCTCACTTATATCTCTAATGAGGACCCCTTTGTTAACGGGCGAAAGCCCACAAAAACGAAAACAGACCGACGGCGCAGCTCAATGCAACCCGGCTTACCTAGCGGCGCCACGACGCCGTTGCACCCAACCTTTAGGGAGAGTTTCGGTGCCCCTCTGCCCGGGAAACGATCGCGTAAGAGCGAGAGGATTGAGAAGAGCGATAAGACTTTACAGAACCTCGAGTCCTCACTAGGCATAGAGAAAGAGTCCGGTGTGACACGTCGCACATCACGTCGTGTAAGCTCGATGCTTGCCAGAGCCGACCTCTCTGCTTCGCAGGATAGGACGGCATTTTCTGAGCAGGCTCAGATCTCCAACCACCCCAGTACGAGGAGGGATACTTCGCATGGTAGCCATCGAGGCCGAACTAGTGGCGTGTTCTCCGGCCCGAGCTTTACGGGGACCGCTAACCATGGAGTAAATACTCTCCTAGAAGCACCGGTCGATAGTTTATTAGAAGAGCTACGAGCAGGTGGAGATTTCGAAGGCTTCCATACCATGGGTATAGATGACCACGAATTTGATGGTCTTACTCAGGAGGTTTTATTTACAAAGATCCACAGTATTCCTATCGACAATAGCAATATTCGGTACTCGCTCTCGAAGCAACCAGCCAGAACACAGTGCAAAGTCTTCTGTCTTGTTGGTCCGGAATCTGCAGATGATGGACAGAACCACCAACAGGTGCTAGTCGGGATTCAAGACCCAATGGAGAAGCGTCTACAATTGTTAACACTTCACCTACAATCAGGAAGTTCTAATTCCGCTTCCGCTTCCTCCCCGGGCCCCGACAAAATGGTTGTGACTTTCAACCAACTCAGGAAAGCACAAAATGTCATAGACTCGTGCAAAATCGTCGATGGCGAGCTTTCTATGATTCTTGTATTATCCCAATCCACCGAAGGCCAGCGCGAACTCAGTATTCAGGCGCCGTGGACGCAAATGACTTCTGTGGTCCTTCCATTGAAGCTATCACTTGCAAATCTGCGCAGTCTTGATTACCACGGCAGCCTCGTCAGCCGGGACGTGGGCATTAATAGGGCTGTAACTCCTGCGATTGGGGAAATTGCTGGCCTGCGGCACCCCAAACTACGCGGTGTTGTAGACATTCTAGACGAAGATACCCAGCAGCATCACCAAATACGTATTCAGCTCCAACCAACTTCTCCGCGAGTTTTGAAAGTACTGAAAGCCCTACGAACAGCTCTTCCAACTTCTTCTGGCGAAAGACTGATTTCAAATTGGTGGGAAATTATTGCATGGCTTCGACAACAAGACGCCGAGGTTGTTGATATCGAATGGTCGGCTATTGTCATTCAGATTTTCTCCATATTTCTTGCCTTGGACGTCGATGAAGCTACGTTACCAGCTGATAACACACCCAAAAGGAGATCCAGAGGCTATTTACGGTCAAGTAGCGGAGCGCAAATTGATCTCGGTGATTGGAACGCGATGAATAGGTACGAAACGCCAGGATCGTTAACACATCCTTCCTGGGTTGAGAATAAAGCGTGGCAGTGGATAATGGAAGAAGACGATTCTCCCTTACCCATGTTTCAAGGTACCTCTGAGCCGGATAAAACAGATTTTCTGTCTACACATACAAAGTACGCTTTGGCATATTTATCCTCTGTTAATGGAGATGCTGCTTGCGGTCCAGACGGATATCTTCCGACCTCTCCTGGCCATGACTACCTAAGTAGGACACGGTACGCCCAAGACATATTTCTTGCACTTCATCTTTTGCTGGAGGAGCAGAAGCTTGACATTGCATCTCACCATATACTATCACCGGGCTCAATTAACTTGCGGGCAGTGTTGCTACAAGTCGTTCGTTGCTTGAAGTGGTTTGAATGGATAAATGCCTATGAGCTGGAAATGCCCTTAGACTGGCCTGAGCAACAGCCAGGGGCGATGAATATATCTGTATCGGTAAGGCCCCCAGAACCAGCTTATTGGAATGTTTTCGACTGGATCCGAACGAACCTGTCACCGCAACCGAGCCCGTCAGTGCATGTACCACCAATAAGATCAACTATGGTTTATTCGATAATTCCGCGTACGAAAATGTTCGAAGACCTTTTCAAGACCCTCTCTCTCCGAAGGAGATCGCCAGCGGACTTCGTCGAAGCTATGTACCAAAGTGGTATCACGCCAATAATTCTAGAAACATTGCCGGAGCATGTTCTTGTACCTCTCCAAGATGCGATTGCTCAATGCCAACCAGCTCCCCCGTCCAAGTGGTCTAAGGGGATGCTAGATCTTATTAACAGAGGTGACATCGGGTCAGTGTTGACACAGTCGAATATTCACCACATTCGTTCAACTGGCGTTCTTGTGAGTCTTCCTGATAGATCGCCACAATGTACCATATTGACATCATTTAGGCACCGACTCACATCGCTTCTTGGGATTTCAATTCGCTCTGCCAAAATATTATGGAGTTTAGTGATGCCCCGTCAGATGATATCGCAGAGAGTGATAAACAGGCGGTGATACGTGCCATCTTCAAGGATGATCGTCGTCTTGACGAAACCAAGTCGATGCTAAACACGACAAAACCAAGAGTCATGCGTCTAGATCCACTACCGGCATGGACAGAAGCTTACTACCTCGAGCAGCAGAAGGACATGGTGACAAGGCTTGCCAATAATACCTTGTCAATTCCAGCTGGTCGTGGTCTAATGAATTATGGGCTTCGGTTCCCTCTCTTGACTCAGAAATTCCACATCAATGGCTTTGTCCTGAATTGTACGGTTCTGCCGAATAACGTGACGGTGGGAGTCGACAAGTCGCTTTTTACCGAAGAGAGGATTGCGTGGGCTTTTTTCCATTCCGGCGTTGCTGGGGGACTATCTATCTCTCGTCAGGCAAAGGGGATAGATACATCATGGATTCTTTATAACAAACCCGGCAATGATCTAAGTAATAGGCATGCTGGGTTTCTCTTGGCATTGGGTCTTAATGGACACCTTAAAGGCGTGGCTAAATGGGTTGCTTTCAAATATCTAACGCCAAAGCATACCATGACGTCTATAGGGTTGCTCTTGGGCTTGGCCGCATCTTATATTGGAACCATGGACTCCCTTATTACCCGTCTATTGTCCGTTCATGTCACGAGAATGCTCCCTCGCGGGGCTGCTGAGTTGAATCTATCTCCCCTAACGCAAACAACGGGAATCATGGGAATCGGCTTACTCTATTGCAACAGTCAACATCGACGGATGAGCGAGATCATGATGTCCGAAATTGAACACATAGAAACCGAAGATGACGAAGAACCATTGCGTACTGAATGTTACCGGTTAGCTGCAGGATTCGCACTCGGGTTCATTAATCTTGGAAAGGGGACTGATTTGAAGGGTCTCCACGACATGCGCATCACCGAGAAGCTACTTACTCTAGCTTCGGCTACTAAGAAGGCTGAACACGTTCATATCCTGGACAGGTCCACTGCCGCTGCTGTTGTAGCGATCGCGCTCATATATATGAAGTCAGAAGATCATATAGTAGCCAGGAAAATCGACGTCCCCGACTCATCTTTACAATTTGACTATATCCGCCCTGACATTCTATTACTGCGCACTGTTGCTAAACACCTTATCTTATGGTCGGAGATCGAACCAACACAAGACTGGGTCCGTAAGAATCTTCCACGACAATACCATTCCAGATTACAACCACCTCAATACCCTCCAGACCACCCGTCCCGTGGACCACTTAACTCGACACACCTACCATTCCTCACTATTTTAGCTGGCCTCTGCTTCTCCATAGCGCTACGGTTCGCTGGGTCAGGAAATTTGAAGGTACGGGACCTTTTACTATCCTATATTCGCCGATATTATAGCCAATGTCGTCATCCCAATCCAAGAGCTAGCTTCGATGAGAGGATTGTACATGTAACGGCATGCATGTGTCTCGACATACTTTCGCTCTCGTGTGCAACTGTGATGGCGGGCACATGTGACCTGGAAGTTCTCCGCTATCTACGGTCGCTCCATAGTCGTAACGATCCAGACACGACTTACGGCTCACACATGGCAACGCATATGGCTATGGGTGCACTGTCACTTGGCTGCGGAACGCAGACTTTTAACACGTCCAACCAAGCCATCGCCTCGCTGCTCGTTGCCTTCTATCCTGTCTTCCCGGATTCAGTGCAAGACAACAAGAGCCACTTACAAGCGTTTCGACATTTTTGGGTATTAGCGACCGACCCCAGGTGCCTTGTTACAAAGGACGCCTCGACTAATGCGCCTGTCTGTGTTCCAATTGCCATCCGCCTAAAAAACTCAACAGAGGAAGAAGTGCGTACGACGCCGTGCTTATTACCTCCACTCAGCGATGTGCAAACGGTTCGGACCATATCGCCCGACTTCTGGAATCTGGAGTTAAACTTCGAGACTCACCCAGAGTACGCCGAAGCGTTTAAACGCTCGCAGGCACTGCACCTCCGTAGACGGCCTGTTAGTGACAGTCCGTTTGCGACAACTATGCTTGCTCTCGGGCGTCAAGGCGGACTCGGCGGCCCTCTATCCGCAGACGCAGCATCTCAACCACTCGAGTGGTTGTTTGAAACGGTACCAAGATTGCGGAAACTCACGCATGCAGAACGTGGCATCGTCCTTGACCGCGGCGTGGGAGGTCCCGATGTAAGCAATAGCGCCGCCACGGCGGTCGACGCCCGCCTGGGATTAGAAAACGTGGTTGCTAGCGGAAACAGAGACGACCTACTCGGCTTAAAGGGGCTATTTGAATGGTTTGAGTGGAGAGCTAGGAAAACACAAGCAGAAGAGAGGGCCAAGGAAGATAACTCGAAGGATAGTAGCAACGAAAAGAAGGAACTTAGTTGGAGCGGAGAGGGGTGGCTCAGAGAGAGTATTGCTGAGAACTTAAAGGGGGGAGTATGGCTTGCAGGTAGGAGTTGAAGGAACGGGCCTGGCTTATGTTTGGGGATGAGTTAAAAAAAATAAAACACAATGGCCCGGACCTACGTCCTTATCTTGGCTATGTTTATATGTAAGTCAAGGGAAACATTATAACGACATCGCCATTACCTACCTAAGGTAATTAGCTACCTAGGTACAAGTAGGTACCTGTACCGAGGTAGCTACGAAATACACTTATGAACAAGAGTTCATTCGGCCGTATAATCATGCATGCTGTCCCCAACGAATATTAATTGCGCAGTCTTGGCATTCTACCCTCAGAACAACATCATATTAAAGTTCAAATAATATTTTAAAGGAAGTTGAAAAAATGAAAATAAATCATACGCAAGTGAAGCATCATTTTGCAAATTATATCACGTTGAGAAAGATTGGCGTAGCAAAATCGAAATGACAACTACCTACTACGTACGACAACCAGTGAAGTTAGCACATGCTGCACATGCAATACGCCAAACGCCAACTGGCACATGGCCGAGGGAGACCCACTCATGTAGATTTTTGGCGGGTGACATCACCGTGCTGCCCTAGCTAAAAGTACCTAATACATAGTAGCAAAGCTTCCAAACCTGCAACCTTGCAACCTGCAACCTGCAAAGCTGCAACCTATATGGGGCCCAGTCCAGAAGAAGAGAAAAAAAAAAAAAAATAGAAGTGTATCTCTTCGCGACAAGAATTCCCTTGCTCGAACCTCCAAGAGTTATGATCGATTATCGAGATAGACCGGTCGCTCAGATACAGGATGCTTCCTTATATTAATATACGTACGGCCAACTATAACCAACTATTCTCATAGGATTCATTGCGCTGATCGTTTGTAGCGTTCGAGTGGTTGTCTGGGGTGGTGGGAGCCTCTACCGACGAGCGTAGGTCATATATAACTCGAATTCTTCTCTCTATTATGAATAAAGTCGCTAAGATCGCCAAATCTACAGTCAAGCTCATCTTCTCTCTTCTCCTTTCTTACCCGCTTGCCGGCCTCTTGAAACGCGTGCCAGATGCTCGCCCCGAATATAAGAATCTATTTAACATAGGGTACGAAAACATCCCCGAGTGTGCGCTGCGTTGCGACATGGAATATTCAAGAGATCAGTTGCTTATTTATTAAATAGCGGAGGCCTATTCTATCTTATCGGCTTATTCTCGCTATGGGCTGGTGTTCGAACCCTCTTCATCTCATCCGCCGTCACTTATGCCCTTGCCCACTACTTACGAACATCCGCGTACATGCCATGGATCGCCTTCGTATTCCTCATGGGCCACATGGCTGTGAATCAGCTCAGTCGCCAGTTTGACAATAATGCAGCTGCTGTCGATATCACTGGTGCGCAAATGGTGCTCGTTATGAAGCTCTCCGCCTTTGCTTGGAACGTGGCAGACGGTACCCTACCCGAGGATCAGCTCAGCGACTTCCAGAAGAGTAGAAGAATAATCAAGCTACCCGGTCTTCTCGACTATGCCGGATATGTGCTATTCTTCCCGGGCCTCCTCACAGGCCCTGCCTTCGATTACAACGAATACCGCGGCTGGATTGACTGTTCTATGTTCGACGTCCCTGCTACTATCGACTCTGCTAAGAAGCCACCTACTAGGAAAAAGCGCAAGATTCCGAGGAGTGGCACACCCGCAATGTTAAAAATGGCGAGCGGTCTCGGGTGGATCTGGCTCTTCTTGAATCTAACCGAGTGGTACAGTCCCAGTGCCCTCCTCGTCGACCGCTCTCCTTCAGCGGGCTTCCTACGCCGTGTCTTTATTATGCACATGGTGGGATTCACGACGCGGTGCAAGTACTACGGTGTATGGTGTCTAGCAGAAGGTTCGTGCATACTCTCAGGTCTGGGCTATAATGGCGTAGACCCTGTAACAGGTAAAGTTGCGTGGAACCGGGTACAGAATATCAACCCCTGGGGCGTGGAGTTGGCGCAGAACAGCCGCGCCTATCTGGAGAACTGGAATATGAACACCAACAAGTGGCTACGCTACTACGTCTATCTACGCGTAACGCCACGGAATAGGAAACCGGGCTTCCGCGCCAGCATGGCCACCTTCGTGACCAGCGCCTTCTGGCACGGCTTCTACCCGGGGTATTACCTGTCTTTCGTCTTTGCCGCCTTTATCCAGACAGCCGCAAAAAGTATGTTCAAATTTTCCTTGTTTTTTACCTTTTTTCTCCATCTCCCTCGTCCCACTCTCCACCCCTGGCAAATCTGACCACAAGGCCCCTTACAGATTACCGCCGCTATGTGCGACCCTTCTTCCTCGATCCAGTCACTCAGAAGCCGCTCCCCACCAAAAAATACTACGATATAGCTTCATGGATAGCGACGCAAACAACTTTCTCGTTTGCAGTAACGCCCTTCATCCTCCTCCGTCTCGACGACTCACTCCGCGCGTGGAGCCGCGTATATTTCTACGCGCTAATCACCACGGGCGTTAGCTTGGCCTTCTTCGCGTCGCCGGCCAAGTCCCAGCTCCGCCGGATGCAGGAAGAACGTACTCGCGGTCGCGGTGCCGGCAGGGATAGGACGTCGTCTCGCTCTGCCAGCGCAGATAGTTCCGCTAGTCCTATCTTGGGCCTAAGCGCGGACCCCGCTAAGGATATTGATGAGGCGCTGCAGGAACTAAGAGAGGAAGTAGAGAGGGTCAGGAAGGACGTCGATGGCAAGATAAGTGTTGGGAAGAACGAGAAGAAGGAATTGTGATTTATTCGCACGGCCTACTCCTCGAAGGTCCAAGGCCGAAAGGAACCAAGGCTAGTGGAGTTGTGAACCATGGTATCCGTCGGAGTGGAATTCAAGTCGCATGATCATACTCGGTGGTCTAAAACCTAGGTCCAGCTACCAAGGAATCCCGAGGCAGGCGGGCGTACGGATTACTGACGGTTAGCTACCTACCTAGGTAGTTGATGTTTAGTGGGGTGTACCATATTTTCAAGACAGATGAGAGGGGGTAGTGAGATGAGGTAAGAAGAGAAATGGTAATATATCATCACTCCAGCGAAAGCTTCAAGTTGACCATAGGAGGGGGGAGGGTGGCTTATGGACAGATATTTAGATATAATGCCAATATCAATGCCTTACAGTCGAGTCTTTGAAGGTAACAGTTAAATAAATGAATTTACATGGGAGGTAATTATAACAACTTCGTCCAAATTTTCCGGAACTTGGACAAGGGGAACAATTCACTTTTCTTTCTTTTTTTTTTTTAAAAAAAAAAAAACCATGAAACTTGGTTCTCGAAAATGACTTTTTCAATTGGTAAGATCTCGTCACCGTATGCGTGATTTCGTACGTCTATCTACCTTCGCGTCTGCGACAAGTATCTAGCCTTTCCCTCCTTGAAAGAAAAAGACTGGGCGTCAAAGACTACTATGTAAGCAGATATCCGTAGCGGCATTAAATCCGAACTTCCTCTCAGCACCTCGGTATTCCCTTCCCCTACTCAAAGCTACTTGGGTATTGGTAGATACCCAAGCGCTAACGTACCATAACGTAACGTATCTCGTCTGCGAATCCTCCATCGGCTCCATTCTACAGACAACTAGAACTTTTTTTTCCCCCTTTTCTTTTCTTTTCTTTTCTTTCTCCTTTTCCCCTGCATTTCATCCCGTCTCATTGCAAGACGCCTCCCCCAGCAGGGAGAAGTAGTAATAGTGAAAATCCTCGTTTCCCTCGTTCCCTCATGCAGGTGCAATTCCCGTCCCCAGAACTACGAAAAAATTCAACAGTCAAGCCAACCCACGTTGGCAGCAAAGCAGAAAGTAAAAATAAACAAAGCGTACCCGAGGAGGCTGTCTCGTTATCCAGACACTCCGTACGTCCCGACTCCAAAAAAGCAAACAACTTTGGTTCGAGGGTATCATGTCCCGTTTGCTCCCATCTAATTTTTCCAGCGAAAAAAAAGGTACAAGTTAAAAAATAAATAAAAAGGCGGTTTCGATCGAAGAAGATGTGGTCGTAAAGAGTAAGTCATAAGGTATACAAAGTTCGTAAAATTCGAAAGCGCGAAGAAAAAACAAACGAAGACGAGCGAATATGTGACGGCAAAATATGTAAGATGGGTCTTTATATGCAGCCGCATAGCTCATGAGATCGTGATTATATATTACGTAAAATAATCATAATTCGTCGTCTCGAGGATGAAATAGAAAAAGGAATCGGGTTATGATGAGTTGGGCGCGTAGGAGCCGTCGTTTCCATCGTTATTGTCGGCCCCATCTTTCTCGAACGCCCACCACAACTAGAGCGACAACCGCGCCGAGAATTATAAACCCCGCGACGGCCATGAAACGGTTGATGTTTCTCCACCATCGGGCACTCTGGTATCGGGCGTCGTCGGCAAGCACAAATCGTCCCTGGGCGGGTTCCACCTGGTTCGAGCTAGGAAACTGAGTTTTACTGTAGGCAGGTTCCTCCATGGCAAGCGTAGGTTTCGGGGGAAGCGGTAGAAGCGCTCCAACCATCCAAGCTATCATTTTAGTTAGCAATTGCAAAATAATATATATATATAACACATGAAGATCCACTTACCGAAGGGAAATAAGAATCCCATCACAAAAAGAACTACTTGGATGTTGCGTCTCCCAAAGACGCCAGTGTCGGCAGACCAAGTTACGGAGGGTGTATTCCACATGCTGAAGTTACTAGCCCGCGTGTCCAAGCGAAGATGCGGTGACCATAGGCTGGAGGATTTCTTCTTAGGAGCTCGGCGCATGTCGCCGGCTTCGACAACCGGCGAAATCTCCATCGAATCTTCCGGATGATGACCGTGGGGGTCTATTTCCCTTGGTCGACGGCGTGGGTTGTAGATAGGATGAGCGTACTGATCATGAGATGGTGATCCGCCACCTACCCAAGGACTCGTCGGTCGGGTATCGCTAACTTCAGAGGGGGATCTGGAAAGAGGCGTGAGCCAGCGTCTGTCCGGACTACTGTAGTAGAGCCTGGGAATGCCTGTTAGCGTTGACAGTATTTCGAATTCTATGCTTAATTATCTTACCTTGCCCAGGTTGGGAAAGAGGAAGCTACCAGACTTCCAGCACGCGAGCTCGCGCTGGAGCGGAGACTTCTATCCGAAGCTTGCCTAGAGAAACCGAGACGAGTTCTGGACGACCTGTGTTGGAGATGTTGTAGGTCTGCTAATCCATCGCCATGCTCATCATGATCTCTAATCATACGAGGCGAAGAAGTCGATAGTCCTCCTCTTGAATAAGCGGCCCCTGGGCGATCTAAGGAATCGCTGTGAGAATGCGATCTTGAATGTGATCTTGAATGCGACAAGCGGGTTTCTAAGTTTTCGAGAACTAGCGAGGACGAAATACTTCGCATGTGCCTACTGTCCCTGCTTCCAAGAACACTGCTAACCCGATCTGCCATAGAACCAGTAGAAGCACCGTGAGAGCCAGGGTCGCTGCCCTCGTACTCGGACATCACAGTCGAGAGCTGTGAGCTCCATTGATGCATATCCATCGGTGCTTTCTGTTGTGCCGAACTCGAAGGCTCTGCCCATGTAGGTTGCGGGATAGATGAGGCGGAAGGCGTGTGGTGTAAAAGAACGACGTTCGGGGTGGAACCAGTAAAAAGAGAACCGGTATCGTGGCTGACTATACTTGAAAGAGACGAAAATGAGTTTGTCCGGCCTCGAGAAGTATCACGTGACCGTTGCTTGGGATAACCAAAACTTTCAGATGACGATCGCTTGTGTGGTCTAAGCGGAGGTACGAGAAGGCTTTCTTGCGAGTACTTTTCGCGTACTTTGCGTTGGGAGCTGTCGTCTGAACGATGATAACGGTGTCCGCGGAAAGGGGTAGCTGACGATGCTACCGAGGAGGCGTCGCCGTAGACAATGTAGTTCTTGCTTGCCGGAGTGTCAGGGAATGCCGGACCAGCAGTCGAGGCAAGGGTCTGAGCCGGAGATGATTGTCCGATAACTTTGTAGTTTGCGCTACTAGATGAAGATGGCACGTCAATGCTGGCCGCGTCTGGTAAGGGCGGAGAACTGCGACCTATGACTTTGTAATTCGTGGATTCTTCGATCGTTGATACGGACTCGTCGGAATTAAACGATTGTTTCGTCGCGAGAGGCGATGAAGGTTCCGGTGATGAGGCGGTCGTTACCGGTAATGGTGGTAAAGGAGATTCCGGAAGTTCCCTCTGCTTACCCTTGCCTTTAGGATCAGGAGTAATTGGCACCTTGCGCAAACCACCAACCATGCGATAATTAAATGGCGAAGGCTCAATCACTTCCTCTGGCAAAGCTGTGATTGTGGAGGGGGAACCCGATGTATTGGGGGAGATGCTGCGCTCGAGCACGGAGCTCAATGGAGAGCCGTGACGATCTTCGGTGGACGCGTCAAAAGAACTTTCTTCGTGCGAGCTGATAGTGGAAACGTTTGTAGAGACGTTAGAGAGCGGAAGCGATTTTGTAATCGATCCCGACCTGTCGGAATGGCGTCGTTGAGTCGGCTTGAGTACAATTGAAAAGGTTTTGTCTGCGTGTACGCTGATGTAGTTTTCTCGTCTAGATACGGTTGCTCTCCGCGGCCTCGCAGGGCCGTCATCGTGGCGCGATGGTGATGGCTGCGATTGGGGATTAATACGCCTGATATTGCTTCCATACGAAAGCGTGTTAATGACAGGGGTTTGTGGGGCAGTGTGTTCAACACCACCTGAGCCAGAAGCAAGTTTCGGCCCTGAAACATCGCTACCCTTAATCCCAGTTGCTGATGAGATAGGCGACGAAAATGATTGCGAACGGGATGAACCTGCGCCATAGCCTCTCCTACCATGTGTCGTGGCTTTTGGCGTTCTTGGTGTTGTGATAGTTGCCGAGTCAGTTGCGCTCTGATCATCTTCCCTCTCAGCCTCTTCGTCCTGCTCGTCCGGGTGAGACAATCTACTATTATCTTCGTCATCGAGAGGCCTAGGCGGCGAGTAAGGGACCATGCGAATTTGCAACTTGTTATTTTCCGAGTCTGACCTCTCGTGCAACGGCGTCTTCGGCGGGTTGGAGGTAGACGATGATGATGTCGAAGACATCCTGAGGTACGGGCCAAGCCCGATGATGCGGCAAACCAAAAATTACCTAAGTCCAGCAGCTATGGAAATGTTTCGACAAAGGCCATAACGATTCACGTAAACGGGAATGCTGTCTTCAGATACGGGAACTGGCGATGATATTTGGGCGTTGAACTTCGTTTCGAGTAGCGTATAAGTGTATACTATCGTAAGCGAGTGTAATAGCGAGTGTAGTGTCCGAGCGGTACGGAGGCGACGGTGGTTGATTACGGGCGAGTAGTGTAGAATATTAATAACTAAGATATAACAAAAAGCTGAGTGACTAAAAGTAGCCAAGGGTATCAAAGAGAGACGTGAAGTTCGTAATAGAATTATTATATCGCTATGGAGGTAGCGCAACAAAGAGTCCAGACAAGGACGTTGTGGACAAGCGTCACATAGACAGCTTTCGTTTGGATCTTTGGGGAGGAATAATAATAGAAAGGAGTGGGACGGGTCGTCAAAGAGAGGCCCAAAAAGACAATTCCTACACTACATACAGACCACACACACATACGCTCGCATCCGCGGGGAAGAAACGAGATCGGGAAGACAAAAAGCAGCGAAGCTGTCAGAAGACGGGCTAGACGAGGTATTATTTCTTGAAAGGTGCCCCGGAGTGCCGAGTCGACGGTCGATTGGCTGGCAGCTAGAGTCATCTATCTAAAGGCGGCTGCATATTCCTTAGCAAGCTATGTAATGCAGCCAAAAAGGGAGCGTCAAGGTTCCATCGAGCCAGCGCAGGCATTAGAAAAGGAAGTGAGCGCTGAAGGAAGACTAGGAAAAAGGCTGACATGGGACAAGGAGTCGCACATGTACCGTTACTACTTTGGCATCTCACCGCGTGGCCTAGTAGTCCGGGTAGTGTATTGTATTGTACATCTTGAGATTTCGTCCTTAGCTTAGATCCGTAGAAAGTAGTAATTCAAGCTAACAAGCAAGATACCATGGTGCTTCCTTTGTTGTCCAGTTAGCCAGTAGGTAAAATCTTTCAAGCCGGATTCCAACGGCGAAGCTAGAATCCACCCACCTGCAGCAATTGTACATGTACAGTACATACATAATAGATAGGTATGCATGTCCTGTATGTAAGTTAAAATGAGGTTGAAAACGAATTGTGGACAATACCTAGCGGTTGAGAAAGCCTACCACGGCTGCACAGTTGCAGATTTGGAGGCTACTGGGGAGGGCCGGGGTGCGCCCGTAACCCTTCATCTGCAAACCGTGAACCAGCCATTCGTCACTAAAAATTCGTACAGGAAGTTAACATCGTCTCAGAAGACGCCCGTCCTCGATACCACACTCTTTGTCTATTCAGACGGAGTTTTCTCTCCTTTCTTGTTCGACATCTCGGTCGCATCGTGGTCGTACCGCGTCTCTCGACGAAGACACCTGTCATGGCCGTCACCATACCTATCTTTACCTGTCTATGTACACACATCCAATCGTAGACAGGTACGAAACAGCTAAGGTAAATAAAATAATTTCGAGTAAAGGTAAAAGATCGGTGAAGAAATTGTGTACGTCGTAAATTAGACGTTGGGCCATAGCAAGCTGCAATTGGCCGAGATCTGGTTAGTCTGGGGATGGGAATCCCAGTTTGACCAGAAGATCATGGACCCAACCGAAAGCCAAGCAAGGAAATATACTGGGATTATAGTGGAGTAAAGGAACTTGGGCCAACACCAATTAGGAATAGAAGCATGGGCCTTAACGAGAGCGTGGCTTAGCAATGGACCCATCGCTACAACTTTCATCTTTGTCGTTCAATTTGTTTTTTTCATTTATTTGTCTATGCTGCCATGTAGCCCCATCTTATTGGTACGATTAGGTATCTAGGCACTTTGTACATCATTAGGTAAACTGCCCTATACCTAGGCGGAATGCCGTCAAAATAAGTGCCTAACACCAATATTCCTTCCACCAACATTTCTTTTAGCAAATATGAAGACAAATTAAATTCAAAAAATTATTTCCATATGGAGCAAAATTTTATACTTATTCTAGTGGTTATTTTAATAGCTTACGAGACGATTTGGTAAAGTTATGCGGATAGCAAAATGACTTGTTTGGTAGTGGAATAGGCACTTTTTTTGACGCCATTCTGCTAGGTATGCCCGATTTACACTAAACAAGGTTCTTTACGTTTCACATCCCGCCTATTAAAAAAGAAAAAGAAAAGAAAAAGAAAAGAAAAAGTCTCGCGACGTAGCTGATAGACGCGTGCATTTGGCGTTTCCCCTTGAATAGTCCATTCTTCGCTTAAAAAAAAGGGTCATTTTAATCTGATCATCTGCCGACTCTTCTGGAATTCAAGCGACTAAGATGAAAGAGATAACAACGATGCGACGTTCAATTTGCATAAAGAATGCTTACTGGAGCCACGAATTGTGCTTGTAAGCCATCAGTGTAATGTATCTCGGTATTGCGTAGCCGTGCATCACAGTGCTATATGACACTATCTTTACTGTATGAGCTAGATACTAATAAGTGGGCCAAGACTAACAGACACTAAGGGGGCCCCTAGCTTAAGGTAGATACGGAATACTTCTATGTACACTAACTCCAACTGAAGTTTTTTCACCGGCGCCTTTTTTTTTTTTCCCCGAGGGTCAAACACATATAAGGTACCTATGCACACGTCGAACATGCAGCAAATTCCAGAGTTTCTATTCCTCTCATCGACATAAGGAACTCCTGCGGCCAGCCTTGATACGGCGTCTGTCTTGCCTTCAGATCGTGAAACCCCATGGCTTACTGGGATTCAAGAGCCGCTCGCGCTTAAACTGCAATCTCGTAGGTCAGCGAGACGCTTTCCTGCACGTTGAAGCGCCAACAGTTGCCGAGAAGGCAGTTCGACCAGCAGAATATTTTTCTTCTGGCATAGGGTAAACGAGCCTCCTCTTCATCTTGGTTTCATTTCCTGCAGAAGGCTGGAGATATTACAGCGAACTATGTTTTCTTTCAATCTGGACTTTGACTTTCTTGAGCTGTTGTAAGTTTTCTTTTTCAGTCGGGAATCGGAGAATTCGACCGGGTCAAAGGTAAAGGTAGAGAAAAAGTCAACCCCCTGCGGCCACATCTTTTCACCCACTCTTTAAGGCATAATCCGATCTAGCATGAATCATTTCCTTCATGCGACCCGACGATTCATTTATCCTTGTGTTTACGGGGATCTCATCTTATGCTTCAAAGCTTGTCTAAGACAAAGATTAAAGCTAGCAAAAGAGTAGAAAAGCAGTCGGAAGCTTTATCAGCTCTGAAGATCTCGGAATTGTTATATTCTCATCTAACCTTCTTGAGCCCCTTTAGCCTCAAAAGGAAAGACGGCTTTCCAGCTTCAAAACACATTACAGGTAAAACCACTGGTGTGCAAATCTGGTAATCAAGGATGCCTTCGATACCGGCTTTCGTAACCCGTTACTTCACCAAGGAACAATGTGAGTACCACCTAATCCATCTTTGTCGACGACTCTAACTTAGCCGCGCTAGCAAAACCACCACCAATCAGCACTAGAACCGCGGTCTTCCTGCTTGTAAGTTCCTAGTTATGTATGCGGGTAAACGTAGCTTTACCACGAGCGTGTAGCATCGGGTAGAAAAGAAAAGAGCGCTTGAGATATTGACTGGTGGCTAGGTAATCTACACGCTCATATACGTGGTACCGTTTTACCTTTTGCCCACTACCAGACCATCTCGTACTCTATCGCGGGATGCGCCATCTGTCATCCGTGCGCGGATAACCTCGGTCTCATTAACCTGCATCGCATGCTCTACCATTACCTATGTGATATTAACATCACTGGACCGAGCCACGGCAGCTGAAGCCCTGCATGCGCTAGGATACTGGCCGGTCGGCCTCGCAGAGGCGGCGAAATGCCTCCTTCTCACCGCTATCCTCTTCACCGGGCCGCTCTACGAGCGTCTAGTTGTTGACGAAGGATGGCGAGACTGGTTATCCTTACAGCCGCTGTCTGACCTCTTTGGTGAGTTGACGACATGGCGTAACATTGTAGCAGTAAGTTTCACATCTCTTTCGTCTTACACCACCTTGAAACTATCATACCAAGCTGCACTCCCTTACATCATGATGAGAAACATTGGTCCGTGTTTCTGAGCAGACTCAAGACCTGCCAATGAGGACAAATACAATAGCACTCTGTGCAACTCTGATTCCATCCCCTCCATCGTCTATTTATCGTGCGGAAAGCTCCGAATAAACAAATGCTGACGGTCGTAGGGCCCCTTCACGGAAGAAATGCTCTTTCGCTCGGCATCAGTGCCACTCATGCTTGCAGCCCAGGCTTCTGTGACTACCACGGTCTTCTTGTCGCCTCTAGTATTTGGGCTTGCGCACTTACATCATTTCTACGAGTTCCGCATCACGCATCCACATGTGCACATCTCATTCGGGCTTTTGCGCTCCTTGATGCAGCTAGGTTACACGACACTGTTTGGTGCCTATGCTACATTTTTGTTCCTGCGTTCTGGCAGCTTAATAGCCGTATTCGTAGTTCACGCTTTTTGTAATTGCATGGGTTTACCACGCGTCTGGGGCCGAGTCTATCCCGCTGTTGTCGATGAGAGGGGGCAGTCATTTCGACCTTCTGATATGTGGACCGTAGTATACTACGTATTGTTATTTGCCGGCGCAGCAGGGTGGTATAAAAGCTTAGGCCCACTGACGGAGAGTGCCAACGCTTTGATCTCCGTAGATATATGATAGTTAGGTCTAGGTACCTAGATAGGCGATTTATTAAACTGGATGAGTGCGGTCACAAATATCAAATACTGTAGGTATTTTAGTCACTTTGTTACATAGTAATTTTGACCACGATATTACAAAATCTTGATATAGAATTTACCTTTCTCAATCCATTATAGCACTTCTCAGCACCTCTAGCAAATCGTTACTCCGATATATACTAGCCAATATTGTAGAACTTAGCCCTTCTTAAAGCTATCCTTGAAAAAAGTTCACTAGCCTACCTGACATTTAATTGACTCCGTCCTCATTCTAATTCCAAATCTCAGTAACTTAACTTTAATCCCAGATTCAACCCATTCTGTGACTGCAGTAAGTGACGATTTTTGCGCAACACGCTCAGTAACTGGGTACCTAGGTAGGTACCTAGTAGGTAGGTAGGTAGGTAGTTATCTGTAGATATATGTATTAAGACTAGGCGAGTTATCTTTTCAACATGGTATGGATATTTTGCCTTTGAAGATTGGCTGAATAGAGATATGAATCAAACTATTAATTTGCAAAGGGTGTATAATTCCAACCCCTATGAAATTCAATGTACCTACCTCCTTTTTTCATCTGGTTACACACTATAAAGTTTATGTCTCTAGTTTGGCGTTTAAGACGAACAGCTGGTAGGTATAGTAATCGTACAGCAACAAACATAAGCTCTCACTTCCTAAAAGGTTCGGTAGTAAGAAGAAAATTTGTAGGAGGTAGTCCATCTAGTAGATTGGGTGTGGTACGTATGGAGATATCGTATTGGTTTATATTCCGCATATGTAAGTCAATGCTCCCCCTGGCTAACCCAGATGTATCACAATTGTGTACTAACCTGTGTGGTAAAGGGATATTAAATACCCATATGAATAGAATCTATTTCACTGAGAACTTGGGGAACTTTAGGTAGTTAAGAATCCGTGTTCTGCAGGTGAATTATTCTATAAATAATTGCTATAAGCAGGCAATTCTCCTGCCCAGAAAAGAATCAATACCGAACTTACGAATTCTACTGAGCAGCTAACATAGCCTTGAACTTGATTGAGAGTTTATTAAGTAGCACATATGTTATTTACTACGTTGCCATCTCGCTTGAGTAGATACGGTGGTACGATCATGATGATTCTCTTTAGATGTTTATGTCTCGTATATATCGTGATATCATTACCTCTCTGTTCGTCAATAGCTCATCCAATATAGCACGTATAGCTATTTACATACTGAGTAGCTTATGGTATATACATAGTGCCGCTAACTAGCCAGCTATTATGGGACTGAACCCGCTTTTTCTAGGTTTCGTCCATGACTAAATCATACAAGATGCTTCTTGATGACTTTCTGGGCGACCGGCGGCGGCCTTGTCTCTCCTGGTAATAGGTACCTATGGAGGGAATATTTCCCCTGCACCTGATGGTAGCCTTACTACGCGACAAAGGAGTGAGTGAATAGCTGCAATCTATTTGTAATGTCGTGGTTGCGGATGCCGCCGTCCCATTTTCTGGGCTGGTGTACCCGTGTCGTGTAGAGTGGAGTGAGGGGTATGTCATTATGTTTAGAACCGTAAAAGACCCGGTGGATTCAAGTTGGTAGGTCGAGTGTCATTCCAGGCAGGCTACCCGGCATGCTAAATCCTCCGGTGCTGGAGGCATCATCTCGGCCCCTAGCCCGCCGATATCTTAAACTATCCGGCGGGCTCAGTTCACGTCTCTGTCCTGCCGCCGCTTCAGCCTGAAATTCTTTGAAGGCTTCTTCCCTGACGTCTTTGGCAACTTCACGGCCCTTGCCTTTGCCCATGCTACTCGACGCCGTCGAAACCGCTTCCAAAGGATCGTCGCCACCCCGGGTGTTCTTTTTGCGGGGCCATAGACTAGGTAAAGCAATTTCCTGGAAGCGGGGTTCAACAGCACGCTCGTCGAACCAGCGATGCAGACGAGACTCGACCAGCTGGGCAATCTTGGGCACGTCCTGTAGCCGCGACCGGCTGCCGACAAGACTACGCACCGAGAAATCAAGGCGGTAATCGTCGAGGAAGCTGAATGTCATCATAGTCGGTGTAGATTGCGAAGGGTTTGACGGGATGAAAGAAATGCTTAAGGTACCACTAAAGCGTACGACGCTAACGGCGAGCGCAACAGGTAAAACGGCTGTCAGTCGCTTTGGGTAGTTAAGAAGAATCTTGGTCTCAAGTGCCAGGGTAATCATGTCGCTGAGGTCAACATCCATCCGAGCCTGTAGTCGTGACCCTTCACGCTTCGCCCGAGAGCTATTAGCGTCAAACCGTTTCTCCCCGTTGGGACCTGTATTTAAACTCAATCCATCCTCGTCTACAGGTATGATGCGGCAATTACTGAAGATGGGGAAGTCCTCACCCAAGGTCAGTTCGGTAACCTTGATTTCATCGAGGAAACTAGGACGCGAGGTTCCGTTAAGGGCCTTCGTAAGGGAGGTAAGAATTGCATCGTCTTGCTGGGCGTCACTACGGAACTGGGCGATTGTTTGGGCGATAAGAACATTAAACCAGTCCAAAGATTCGGGCTGGTGGCTGTCAACGTTATAGTAGGTTTTATTCAGTATAGAACCGATGGTGAGCGTAGGAGGGCTCCGAAGTATACTCGACTTCTTCTTGTTTAGGGTTGGTTGCTGGGATGATCTCGTCGTAGTCGGCGTTGTCGATCGTAGAGTAAGAATGGATTGTCGGTGGGCAAGGGTACGAGACCGTCGTTCGGCAGCTCGAATAGAGGCGGTTACTTCGGGGGACGGAGCCTCGCCGAATATAAAGAATCTTATAAATGCTGCTAGGAGGAGAACGACTGAGATTTGGCCGACGATAAGTCCTTGGGTAAACGACAAGCTATTCTCGAGTGACGAAGTTAGATAACTAAGCTTAGATAGAAACCTATATGAAATGAATGTCGAGCGAGCATTAATAGCTTTACTTACGTCGGCTCAGGCTTCATCGGACAAGTGTCCGTAGCCATAGTCATATTAGTGTTATAACATTTAGAGCGAAACTCCAAGTAAACTTGAACTAGCGAAAAAAAAAAATGAAGCAATTGCAAGATTCAAGTTGGGAGGATGGAAGTTTTAATAGTAAACTTTTCCCCAGCAACTGACTTTCTAAGAGCTTGTCCTGCATAGTGCCATTAGGTGCATACATAGCTCCAAGTCTTTATCTTATCGGAGGGTCTTTAGAAGTAGGTACTAGGTACTTCAACGTCATCTAGCATTAGCTAGCCCTTATTAGCATTACCTTAGGTAAGACTTAAGTAGCTAGGTACCATCAGCCATTTGATACAATGGTACAATACATCCTTCAATCGATTCAACTGAGCCTCCTTTCATTCGTCCGTCAACAACTTATAAATGACAACTAGAAATCTTGCGATCTTACAGCCATATTCGATTACTGAAGAGAAAAACAAAGGCGTATTTTACTTGGAATCGAATCTGCAATTAATCGTAACCCTAGAAATACATTTATTTACTAGCACCGCCTTTCGGAGCTGGTCGAGATGGATGTTGTCCAAGCCGTCTCCGGCTACATCTCCAAGATGGTGTCGGCCGGGGATAGCGCATCGGGAACTCCATCTGCAAAGATGAAGATACTCTTATTAGATAAAGATACAGTACCAATTGTCTCCACCGCCACCACCCAGTCCTCTTTGCTCAATCATGAAGTCTATCTCACCGATCGGCTCGATAACCAGAATCGCGAGAAGATGCGTCATCTGAGGTGTCTGTGCTTTGTCCGGCCATCTCCAGATTCTATCCAGTTTCTGATTGATGAGCTGCGAGACCCTAAGTACGGCGAATATTACTTGTATTTTAGTAACGTCGTGAAGAAGTCGTCGCTCGAACGATTAGCCGAAGCTGATGACCACGAGGTCGTCAAGCAGGTTCAGGAGCACTTTGCCGATTATCTCGTCATTAACCCCGACCTCTTTTCACTTAATCTTACCTTACCACAGCAGAGGATATGGAGTGGGAACCCGGATTTATGGAACCCTGACTCGCTTCAGAGAACCACAGAAGGTCTGATAGCCATCTTGCTGTCGCTCAAAAAGAAGCCACTCATCCGATATGAGAAGAATAGCTTGCTGGCCAAGAAACTCGCTACGGAAGTGCGATATCACATAACCCAGGAGGAGCAATTATTCGATTTCCGAAAAGTTGATACGCCGCCCATACTTCTAATTCTTGATCGGAGAGAGGACCCTGCTACGCCACTACTTAACCAATGGACATACCAAGCCATGGTACACCAGTTGCTCGGGATTCACAATGGACGAGTTAGCCTAGATGACGTTCCAGATGTCCGTCCAGAACTCAGAGAGATGGTGTTATCACAGGATCAAGATCCGTTCTTCAAAAAGAACATGTACCTGAATTTCGGCGACCTCGGTGGGAACATCAAGGACTACGTCGAGCAGTATCAATCTAAGACGAAGAACAACGCTAACATCGAGTCAATTACGGATATGAAACGGTTCATAGAAGAATACCCCGAATTCAGGAAGCTCTCCGGAAACGTTAGCAAACATGTTACGTTAGTTTCGGAACTTAGCCGGAGAGTGGGCGCCGAGAATTTACTCGAGGTCAGCGAAGTCGAGCAAAGCTTAGCCTGCAACGACAATCACGCTACCGACTTAAGAGTAAGATAACCAATTCGCCCCATGGACACATCTCAGGAGCTAACTTGGTGTAGAACGTCCAAAAGCTGATACAGTCCCCGTCTGTAACTCCCGAAAATAAGGTCGGGCTCGTGGCGCTATATGCTCTACGATATGAAAAACACCCATCCAATTCTCTGGCCATGCTAGTAGACTTGCTAACAGCAGCTGGCGGCGTACCTGCGCGACAATCAGACCTGATAGCGAAGTTACTAATCTACCACCACTCGTTACAACAGTCCCAAGCAGCGGGCGGTATCGCGGATATCTTCGAGTCAGGGGGTATCTTCTCGGGCGCACGAGCCATAAAGGGGCTAAAGGGTGTCGAAAACGTGTATACGCAGCACTCGCCGCATCTCGAGACGACGCTACAGAATCTAATTAAGGGTAAACTACGCGAGCAGCAGTACCCGTTCTTGGAGGGTGGTGGCACAACACGAGACAAACCCCAGGACATCATAGTGTTCTTGATTGGTGGCGCGACATACGAGGAGGCTAAGACGGTTGCTAGTATTAATGCTTCGTCGCCCGGAATTCGGGTCGTCTTAGGCGGGACTAACGTCCATAATGCGGCTACGTTCCTCGAGGAGGTTGATGACGCCGTGTCTTCGTGGCCGGAACCGCCGCCGACCACAACTGCGGGAAGGTTGAGGAAGGAGCTTGGGAGGAGATAGATAGTTCAACTATGTTCAAGTCGAGGTACTCGCTCATTGAGACCCCAGTGGGTGAGGTTATTTGCGGGGATTGAAAGTAAGAAAGTGACTTATTACTAACTGCCTTGAAAAGTAATATCGGTTTATTAGTATAAGGTGTTCTATAAATACACCTTCGGTACATCAGACAAGTGCGACCTAGGCTACTACCTATCCTAGGCGGCATGCTACTCTAGAGGATATATGGAAACCTATGGAATCTAAATATACCAATCATCATCAAGTAGAGGCAGAAATGAGGAGTAATTCGCGAGGCACTCAAGGCTGCCTATCACATGTGAACTTAGGTGCTCACCGAATATCGGGACTGGTAGTGGCTGTAGGTTCGACTTGGGGGACGGTATCTTTACTGTTCTTTTCTCTTACATAGTAGGTACTCGAACGATAGAACCTTGTCACCGGTCATACCTTATCGTAAAGAAAAAGGATCTGCATAGGAATACTAAAGCTGAAATCTCCGGGCCCGAATAGTGTCTGAGTCAGACATAGATTACTACAACCACTATTGGTCGCTTGTGCTTGTGGCAAAGGTTAGACCGAGATAGTGTAACAATATGCAGAGTGAAGTCTAAACTTCTTTACCTATATCTATCGGGGCTGAGGGTGTCCCCTCTTTTCGAATACATGTAGGCCTGCGTACCTCCTATGTAGATTTGTAAGGGTGGATACCGATGCGGGAGCTTGTGGTGTTACATGTATGTGATGTGAGGTCCCAAACACACCTCTATGTACCTAACGTACCTACCTCGATTCCATTGTATTAGGTACCTACCTGTAGGTAGGTAGGGATAGGTAATCACATGACCAATATCACAACGCAACGTGCTAAACACGAACGACAAGAAAAAAAAAGCAAAACAATTTGCATTTGAAAACAATAATGGGAACAGTAATGGGTAGCCCGCTGATATACTACGTATATTGGCAGACCAGCTATTTGAAGTTAACCCTTTGGGCTTTTTACTGCTGTGTATAGGAGGTTCTTAGTTTCTCTATTAGAACCAAGTAGGTATTAGATCGAGTTGAATGCTGAGTTAGGCGACAATTATTTAATAATCACCTAGCCCCAGTAGCTTTTATGAAGTATAGTCCACCGCGGTTGATACTATGAACGTAACCATTCTTCTCTGGTCGGTAAGTAGGTAATGTGCAAAGCAACCAATGAAATCTCGATATTTACTCAATCTGTTGATGGCTACATAAGTTCGCACACTAATAATACGAATTCATATATGCACGAATAAGGAATAGAAGCTACCCTTATAACTTAAAGGCAAAGGCGGACGAGGCAACCCAGGCAATAGAGGAGTCATAAAAGCGCAATTTTGGCTAGTCACCCTCATCCTTAGTGTTTGATAGGCTTTGGCCCTAGGTAGATTATGTGAAAGCGTAGTTTATGTTGGGTTCAAGGAACAAATGTGTTGCTTATATTTACCAATCTCCCAAGGGCAACCTCATAAGTTAACTGCTATTCAAATCAATATACGGCAAAAGAACCATCTATAATTCAGTTGCTTTCCCCTGTTCAACAGTCAAACAATTAAACAGCGAATACAATGGAATTTCTCTCTAAGATCACCAAGGACGGCTCCAACGAGACTACAGCGGGTGTTCTCGGCCATAAAAATATATATGCTGGCAACAAAAACGAGGCGATTCAGATCGGGAGAAACCACAATAACTACCATAAGGGTGACCGTAATAGGACTATTCAGCAAGGATCGGCTCATCATAACATAGTCGATTCCGGAGACAGCAATGGGATAGCTCAGTTTGGCGACGAAAACCACAATTTTACGAATGGCGACAGAAACCGTACGGGCCAGATTGGCACCGGGCTTGAGAATAATATCAATAAGCGAACCAATAAAAGAGCTGAGGAAAAGAAGTACGGCGAAACTACGATTCAGCCTAACGATAAGGCGCGAGAAGACGTCGAGTCACAGCAGGGTGGCCTCCAGGGATGGCTGGGGAAATTCAGAATGGATTGGCCGGGGGCAGAAGAATGGACCTGGGGACGAATGTGGGCATGGATAAACGAGACCAGTTGATATTCAAAGGAAGAACAAAAAAAAAAAAGACAACTTGAAAAGTCTTGATAACTGAACCTGGAGTGTTTAATTATAGAGCATACATGGAAAATATCATAAACTTCTTTGGTATGGGTTCGCGAGAGCTAAACACTCGGAGGACCGAGGCACCTATCGCGACATGTGCTGCCCTTAATATAATAATCAGTGAAACAACCAAGAGAGCCACAACCCGAACAATATTGCGCCAAATGCATATGATATTTGGCGAAGAGTAACAGATTCCCCATGAACCTGCATGACTTTATTCTCGTTTCCCTCGATCTCGTTTCTGTGTGCATGTTTTCCACGTTGAAGTACTTCATTCTTATCCCCAATATTGGAATTGGAATGACCGGGTGTCTGTGGAGGGTAGAGATATTGGGCTGCCGGATTATTATACCCATAGTCGTTTACTTCTCTTGTCACCTCAGTGGACTTGAGGGCTTTATTGCCAGGAGGGATCAAGGATTGCACCTGTGAAGCCCCTGCCATTGAATCACGAGGCTCTTCTGGTATTGTGAGTTAGAAAACTGAGGCGTTGAGTTACTTAGTATGTGGAATATGAATCTGCTCACTAGAGTCCTTAGACCAGACATAGTCGACGACCATCTCAGGTATCTGAAGTTGATAAAATATAAGATTTCGGAACTTGATGTTTAGGTAGCTTTGATGTGTAATGGCAGTTATAGTTTGAAATTTCTACTTATGGGATTTTCGTAATTTATGGAGGGGTAGCTGGAAGGGCTACGGCAGACCACCCTAGAAATAAGAATAGGAAATATGACGAGGCTCCGTGTAGCTTATTAATGAAGCAATAAGCTTGAAGAACTGGCTAGCCATCTTCCTATTGTCCTAGTTGAGGAATGAGAGATTGTGCCCTGATAAATACCTTGGGCATATGTTTTGTTACATGGATCAATTACTTGAAGTTTATGTTTCCGGGCATCCTACCTATACAGGAGGTACCTAAGGTATTGAAAAGGATGTTTTGATGCAGTTTCATAACTACACCTACGGTAAGAGGCTGACAGGTGGTAGTAAATCCAACCCACCATAAAGAACGCATATCGGTCACCCATGAATTGAATGTCTTCTTTGGCATTTGAGGCCTATTTCATTTTCTCATAAAACAATCGATATTCGGGTATGGACTACATGCATAATTTAAAACTATATTGTGGTGGTTTGCTTATTTACACTTTAATAATGATTAGGTGTATCTAATATTTTTTTTTTTTAAAAAAAAACATATTCTAAGTACATTCAGTATATACTTCCCTCCTCGACGTTCAGCCACCAATTCGCCCTGTTGCTCCTTACGGCTCTGTGCAGCTTAGATGAGCAAGCCGGTGAGATACAATAAGGGACATATTGGAGCGGTATTAATACTTGGATGCTACGACTCGTTACGCAAAACAAATACGTATCATCGACCCACCTCAGAAATTGATTTTCTTACACGACTGGGCGGCTGGGTGGCTGTTGCTTCTCGTGCCATTAGTCTTATTGGCTCGGGGTTCCCTTACGATGTAACCTAACCTCTCAGCCAGACAAATTGACGCTCGGTCTGCCGTGAGGCCTCGCCAGCTTGCCGCTGGACCAATCCACGAATATTGACATAAGTTCCTGATACATTCTTTAAATATAGGTATATAATGCATCATTAGTCGGCTAGCTGTTTCTTGCGAGTCGAATTTGCATGTTCACGAAGGCTTAGACGATAGCCGGGGAATTAGCTACATACCTAGGTGAAATATATGTGAACTTGTAAAAGGTAAGTAGGTAGCTTAGCCACTATCATTGCCAAGCCTAACCTGCATCGGAGCGTGGCAGTATACGCCTCCAAAATACGACCTTACTTTTGTAGCGTATAGCAAATCGTTACGGTATTAATTGCCCCTAACCCATTTACTGCTCTTTTTTTTCGTATCTGTGGGCGCGAATCTGTGAACGACAACGCAGGCAGCAAAAAGATGCAAATTCAAGGTTCTACCTGAACTGGATCGGGTTGAATTCCGAGGCTATAAGCTGAGCTTATTCCATATAATATTATTACCTACATTAACGTCAGATGGGGGGGGGTTGTTATAGTAGCTGTATATATACTGTATACATACCTCAAAGCACTATGGGGGGGGGGGGGGGGGGGGGGGGGGGGGGGGGGGGGGGGCGCGCGCGGGGGGGGGGGGGGGGGGGGGGGGGGCGCCGCCGACCGAGCGGGAGGCGGCGGGAGCAGCGCCG